TAGATTTTTTCTATGAATGAAAAGAAAATTACATGACATTGCTTGAGTATTATCAAAATGTGTTAACAATTAAAAAATAAAAATAAAAGCTCTCTCTTGCAAAGGCATAGTAAAAGTATTCGAGCTACACTTACATTAATATAGACTATAGATGAAAATTAATATTCTCACCTTATATAAAATATTTAACATAATAAAATATTCTTAATAGGATAGAAAATGTAAATTGAAAGGAGAAAAGAGCATTAGTTTTCCAGTTTATATCTTTGATGACAGGTGAAGTCTATTAATAGAAAGTAATTAAATTAAATTTTAAATAGTTTTATGGTTGTCATCAGTAGACATGTCCTTTCAAAAGAAATGTGAAAATTTTTTAAATTTTCAATAACATTTTATTTTACACTAGGCATGCACCACTATATATCGAAATCCAGCACCATTATTTGAAACTCAAAAGAAGAAGAAAATTATAAAATCATTAAAAAAAAGTATACTTGAACATGTTCAAATTATTATTATTATTTTCTGTTTCAGAATACTTAAACTTAATTCAAATTGAAATACAACAAGAACATAATCAAAACTCGCAGCATGATAACGTTATTTCATCTCTTCTTCTTCAAGAATGATAGAATATTTTCAAAGATCAATTTGCACAAATAATCTCTAATACTCTACTTTAGTAATTAGACTCAAGCAGCAGACAAGCTGACTTTAGTTTGACGTATAAGTAATCAGATTGGTTCAAAATGTTTTTAAAACTTAAACACTAAATACTTCAGATGTATCATAATGTAATCTATTTTCATAAGCATATGACTTTTCAATTTATATGGAAATTTTATGAGATACAATCTAAAAGAAGTGTTGAAATATACGAGTAAAAATATAGCTTCTCTCCACGAACACACCATGAAAGATGTTAGTTGGAAATCGAAAAAAGTCGTTGATATACAATCCCAAGCTCTATTTTAATAAATTCTTGTTATAATATATCCGCTGCTTTCTTATTCTATTTCTAAGAGATTAAGTAAAATCATGCTAAAGAAAAACGTCACGAAATAGATAGAATAAAACGATCTCTCTATGATTATTAAGATCAGTTACATCCTTTTTCACATTTTAATCCTGCAAGGTGGTCGCTAACAGCTTTCTCCCTAGTATATATTTCCTTTTTGCACCATTAGTTTTTTGTTTTGATCTATCATAACTCAATAACCTTGAAAATGTTATTATTAGAAATTTTTTACGTGCTATCATTTCGTCCGCTTTTTGATTAACTATTGAGTGTACAATATAACAATCCATTGAATTATTTTTCTAGTACGATCAGATCGTTATTTTGGAACATAACGAGTGTTCAATGACAGCAAAATCATTATGTAATTTAATAAATTGCATCATAATTAGTAATTTTATTAACATCTGACTTCCAATATGCTTAAGTCCACATTTATTACTTAAGATTGTAATAAACTCAATAGTAATGGAACATGGAGTGTATAACAAAAGTAGTTAGATTTAGATTATGTCAACATAAAAAAATCAACGAAGAGTTTCTGTTGATACATACGTTTGATGTTATTAATACTCTATATTTTTGCATAATAGAATCATTAATGAATCCATATTGTTGCATTAAAAAAACCAACTCAAATTAAAGTGACGCAATCAGATTTTCGGCTGGGTAAGAGAAACACTTCGTTCTCACATTGAATTGTATGCTACATTTTATATAAATAGGAACTTAGTTTATGATCAATAGTATTATGTGTAAGGCTACTGTATTCTATCTTATAGTACAGGTAAGATATGTTCAAAATATCTAACTTTGTGAAGATGACGAAAAAATCAAACATGAATCAAACATTGTTCCGTCTTTAACTGAAACATCATATGAAAATATCGGCAAAGTTCGTTGTGCTATTCAGCAAACTTTGAAAAAAGAATATGGCGTTTATTTGATGTGGTGATAGCTAGTGACTGATACATTGATGATAAGTAAATTGATAGTAAGCCGGCGAGAAATATCTGAAAGGCTAGTCTACACAACTCATCTTCTATCTTCCAATGACAAATGGTTTCGCTTTGAAAATACAAAACTTTATTACTTTTGATATTCCCTAAAGATTATCTAATCTAAATGAAAATATTTTAAAACTGAAAAATAATTAATAATTCAAAGTATGTCTATTATACGCTACTAGAAGAAACCTATTTGTGAGTGTCTATGTCAAATAATGATAGTCGATCGAGAGGTACCTTTGTCTATATTCAACATTGTCATAGAATACTTCGTGTCTTCGAAATCTCTAAAATAATTGGTAATTAATTGCAATATATCGAAGGGATAATCGTGAGCTGAAACACGATGAATCACAAAATTATGCTCTTTTTTTTCATCTAACCCTAATTTCTGATGTTATACTGAGAAATTATTATTACTAGCTAATGTTAACCAATATTTGTAGAGAAAAAGTTAAGCACTTACATTATTCGACATAAATAAGACATGGATTAAAAGTAAAAAAATAGTAGCTTTGCATCTTATTAAATAAAATTTTTTTTACTCAGTTTTTCATGTTGAGTCAGAATATAACAATGTATGAAAACAACACTACATGAGATTTAATTCAATATTTCCTCGACTGTAGAGAGGGTCATATGAAAAAAAAAATAGTTTGTGTGTGTGTGGCTTTGTGTCAAGGTCAAAAAAACATCAAAGACGAATTATTTTTATAAAGGTTGACGAAAGTAAATTGGGGTCCGGGAATCCGAATCTGAAGTTAGTTTTTCAAAATTTTGAATTGAGTTTTTTAGGTTAAGGGAAGGGTTTTTTGAGAAAATAACGATATTTCCTCGACTGAAAGGAAGGTCATATGAAATAAAATGCGTTTGTATGTATGTATGTGTCAAGGTCAAAAGAACATCAGGGTCAACAAAACATCGTCTGAAAGATTAATGCTCAGTTCTTTTCTACATCTACTCCTGTAAAGCTTGGCCAAAGGTTTTCGGGGTCGAGGAATCGAATGGTATCATCACTTTTGAAAAATTTTTTTATAATTTTTTTTTCACTAGATAAGGCGTTCCTAAAAGAAAATAATGACCTTTTATCAAGAAGCAAAGCTATGAAGAAAGTGTGTTCTTTTGTATTTTGTTTCGAGGTATTTTTTCAAATATTTCTATTTTGATTAATTCAACGAGGAAATGATGTAATTAAAATATTATACGCTGAAAAATGTGAAAAGTTTAAGAGCAAGTTTACGTCTTGCGGTCTCTGTCATGGTCCACAATACCGAGATCAGCAAACCAAAACGGGTTCCCGCATTTCTATATGGCTTTTGCTCATCCTGTCTAATAGCTTATTGTAGTTGTTTTAATCAAATATTCCCTCGACTGAGGGAAGGGTCATATAAAATAAAATAAGTTTGTATGTGTCAGGCACAAAAGAACATCGGGGTCAAAAAACATCGGTCAAAAGATCGATCGTCAGTTGTTTTCGACATCTAGATCTTGTAAGTAGGATCTGGAAATACAAATAGTTTTAGACAAAAGTGAAAAATTGAGAGAAAGAAACAACATCGTCGGACTACAGTCTCAGAGGATTGGAGCATGGGTTTAATTCAATCGCGACAATCGACTGCGAGCTGTTTGCTTCAGTAAATCTTAGAAATTCAGAATGGAAAATAGAAAGGTCCGATTTTTTTACAAAATGGCCATCACTGACAATACTATAGACAGATTTTCGTTGGTGCATGTGTTGCACAATAATTGTCAAAGCAGAACTCAGAAAACGACAACACATGATAACAAGATTGAATTCAGTCGAGGGTTAAGCGAGTCCTGCCCACGAACGTTACTTGTCTAGTTAATCAAACAAATGTAGAGAACTATAATGATAAATTTTATTCTGTTTTATGGAAATTTTCAATCTTATACGATCATTTTCAACCAGTTAATTAGATATTGAATTAAATCTCATGTAGTATTGCTTTCATACATAATCATTACATATATGAAGTAGAACTAGAAACATGAGTTATATAAGTAGGTATATAGGTACTTGGAATAAACTCCTTTATGTTTGATAATAACTCAATAAATGATACTTTGTTATTAATTAGTTACATTGTTATGTTACTTATTTTAAAACGCATCATTGATTTCACTTATATTATTAACTTTCATAATGTGAACGCATTGAATTATTGTTCCATTGAATGTATATTTATGATAATTTTAATTCAATAATAAGAGTTTAAAAGTTTATGTTTATGATGTTATTGATTATGATGTTCATCTTTCTCATCCATTTTCTTGATTGACTATTTGTATTTTTTCTGTTTGTGTTTTGTAACATCTATAGTCCTGTTAAATTGATTGATAATGATCGTATAAGCTCGAAAATTTCCATAAAACAAAAGAAAATTTATCATTACAGATTTCTACATATGTTTGATTAACTAGATACAAAATATAATATTTTCGAAAAAGCTTGTGAGATAAATGTAATTGAAACTTGACAGTTTCTTTAGGAAGAGCGAATTTGTGATAACAAATACTATATTTTAGGCATTCGATTTTTTTTAAGGATTTTTCAACTGAACAGTGATCAAATTGAAACAAAGAACATATATTCATGATCAGCTTCCGAAGCTCTATCAAATCATATATAATAGTACGAAAAAGAAAATTCAGTCGAATCTTGCATTTTTAACATCTTAATGTGAAGTTAAATTCTTTTTATTGTATCATGTTTGTTTATTTCTCATAATTGTCCAATTTTGTGTAAGAATGAATCCAGCTTAGAGGTAACACTTACTTTTCTTTCAAACATCAACGAATATAGTGACAATTTAAGGTTCAAATTATTCTCTAAAAATTATTACAACATCATTTAGTTTTCTGTTTCATATAAAATGAATTGTGTTCATCATGATAATTGTTTGTAGTTTCTAGCATCAATATTTGATGATTGTGGCTGCTAAAATACATTGTTGTTATGTATGTATAGGTGTTATTGTATTTAGCTTTCCTATACGCATGAGTATTTCTTTGACTTGAGGAGTGACATAGACGAGCATAAGACTAAGAACGATCATACCAGTGACTAAAACTAAATTCTGAATACGATAAAACAATGGTTTTCCTACATCAGTAAAAGGTAGCATTAACTTCAATACGACAGAAGGAATAACCATCAATGTTAATATGCATACGACAAGTGCAATCCGTCGTGCTACGATCACATCACGTTTAGCTCGTACTGAAGCAACCATAGATGGTCGATGTATAAATCGCACCAGCTGTATATAAATAATATTGATGACAATAATTGGTATACCATAAATAATCATATTAGACCAAAGAAATCCACGAATACTATGAATAGCTACCAAGCAGATATTTTCCATACGTATAAATTGTATATCATGCCAAAAATGAATCGGTAGCATAAAAAGAAATGAAATGAGCCACAACATAGGAATAATCACAGTATAAGTACGAGCATGTTGTAGCCATACATAAGAAGGACAGACCACACGAAAGAAACGAAAGATAGCCTATAAATTAACATATGTATTTGAAATTTAGAATGTCAATAAAATGCAATTATCAGGTTTGAATTACTCTATAAATCTGTTTATGATACGAATAATTTGTAGGACTTTCTCAAATGGCATTTTAGTTTACCATCTTCTAATATCTAATTAAGCAATGAAGTTTTATATTTTCATGACAAGAATTTTACAATGAGAAGTATGAAATAATATTATGACAGATAACAAGTCATTACTTTTACATCTTTGGCTCTGTCCATGAACTGTATACATACTTTCGATATAGATAGACAAAAATAGAGTGGGTTATATCCTCCACTTTTCGAATGTGTGCGCTTAAATTTTTTATTTAACTGTCTGGAATATAAAAATAATTTCTTTTCTGAAGATCGTTAAGGAAAGTATAAGACTTAGCAGTCTGCGGAAGCTTTTTTCCCTGCGACAAACTATTCTTGATTTTATATTAGTTCGTGATGTTTACCAAAGTTATTGCTTGACATGAGATTAGATTTCAAATAGGACAGCATTATGTGTAACTTTTACTTTGAAAAACATACTATATTGCATTTGATGGAAACTATTCATTAATTCTGGCTAAGAATGTGACTAAGAAAAAAGTAGGAAGTAAAATAGAAACTCTGAAAGTTGGAAAAGTACAGATTCCCAATTTATTTTTCATTTTACAAATTCATTTTTTCTGAAAAAACCTGTTCTTGCTCAGAAAAATGATTATTTTCTCGGCGTGAAGACAAGAGCGCACGCACAGTCCTGCTCCTCGCATTTCCACATCTCGACCTGTTTTTGGTCATTTGACTTGCTGACTGTGTCTGAGAAAAAAATTTCGCTCTTCTACTTTTGAAAATTATTGATGATAAGCAGTGGTGAAAATGTTGTCGATTAAACAATATTTTGTTCAATAAAAATTAAATAGTAGATCTTGTCGTCTACAATATTCAATCATATTTGTTTAACAAAGACCAATAAAAACGTTAATTTGCCGTAAAAAAGCGAAAAGAAAATATGTTGAAATCAGAAAACATTGTCTTTAGGCGTCTACAGTTTACCACGTCTTTTCTTATAATGATGTCGGCTTATATCTGTAATTGACAATCATCATGATCAGTAATATCTGATAGAAATAGACTAAAAATGTTGCATAAAACTGCTATACAACTTAGAGTTGATTATCATGAGTGCGGGTGCTTGATGTTCAACGAATATAGGTTAGTCATCACCACCAGTTATCTCATTTATTAATTCACAAAAAGAAGGTCTTTGCTCTTATCAAGTGATTACACATCTAAATTGAATGGATGTTCAACAAAAATTGCTACAAATTTGAACTATCAATTGATTAAAATGACTGATGACCACAATCTTACTGTAGGTATAGCAAAAATTGAACTATGTGAATTTTGTAAGAGAAGTTTCCTCTTGACTTGTATATAATCTCTGTTCGAATATCAGTATGACAACATACAATAAAGAATGTGTTCTGACGAATACTTTAAGGTCTTTCTAGGATCAACCATAATACTGATTTAGACTTTCATTATACACAACAGTAAAAAATAAGACTATAATAATAAGAGATAAATGCAAGAAACAACAAGCGTTATTTAAAGAACAGAATGAGACTGCGAAGGTTTTAATATTCATCAGCAGAAATTTTTCATCATTAAAATGACATATATATCATTAAAAATAGATGAAGAAAATATATTAAACAGATGTGCGTTAAAAAACTCATTCAAAAAATAAATAAAGAATTCTTTGCTTGATACATATTTGAAGTCTATCAAACTTTATTAGAAATCTTACCTGTAATGCAAAAGTATTGAAAATGACAGCCATGAACGCATAAACTGTATATCCTTTAATACGACAACTAAATGTTTCCATACCAATGTACAAATTATAATCACCTCGAACCATATCAACATTACTTGATATAGCTACAATTGCAAAAGCCAATAATGATAAATAATTATTAGCAACTAAAATTAAAACTACATCATGATGACGTATAATTGATGGTAAGAGTGCACTAATAATGACTGTGCATATGAGACCCATAAATATAGCTCCAATGAGTGAAATAAAATTGAGAGTTATAGCTGCTGTTGATATTATTGTTATATTCCACATATTTGTTTATCATTTATAAATAATACATCATTTCACTGTAGATTTTATCTATTGGCGAAAAGAAAATGAAATGTCATTACTCGAACAATATTAAAATAGATACACATTTCAAAAAAAATAAAAAGAAATGATAGCTCTATACTGTAAAAACATTGTAAAAGTATTCAAGCTACAGTTACAACAATAGAGACTATAGATGGAAATAAATTTTCAGACTTTAAATAAAATATTTAAAATAATAACATATTCTAAATAGGAGAAGAAAAAGATATGCTTGAAACCGGCAAAAAGAACATTAGCTTTTCTAGTTTAGGTATTTAATAACAGCTGAAGTCAATGAATAAAAGAGAACTATATTGAATTACAGAATATTTTGATGATTGTCATCAGTAAGGATGTTCTTTCTAGAGATAGATGAACATTTAATTTACAACTAAAAATCTAGCATTTTATTTCTGAATCTTGTGTAAGATAAAACTAAACATATAATATAAATAGATTAATTCTTAGAAGAACTCGCAATATTGATACCAACACTAAAACAACTACCATTTGAAAGTCAAAAAAATGACAAGAAAATAATATTGTCAAACTATACTTAAATACGTTCAAATTATTATTTCTCGTTTCAGAGTACTCACAATTAATGTAGGTGGAAAAAAAACAACAGTATTATAAAAACTTGAAGCATTACAACGTCATTCTATCTCTTCTTTAAGAACGATAGAAGTTTTAAAGAGCTCAATTTGCATAATTAATTTCTGATATTGTTAGTGAACAATTAGGGCTAAGAAACAATAAAGCAGAGTTTTATTTGATGCATGAGTACTCAGATTAATTTCGAATGTTTTGTAAATTAAATACTACCTACTTCAGATTTATAATGAAACATAATCTAAAACAAGTGATGAAATATATGAGTCAATATTTAAATCCTCTTCATCCTTTTTCCTCATACACTCGAGAATAGGCTCTACTCTGAAATCATCAGAGATCGTACTTGAATAGTATCTTTATAATACATCGACTACTTTCTTATTCCATTTCTGGAGGATTAAGTAAACCATGTTAAAAAAATATGTCACAGAATAGATAGAAAAAAAAAACAATCTCTCTATGATTCGCAAGAGAAGCTACATCATGTTTCTCATTTTAATCTCGTGAAGATTACAATAACAGCTTTCTTTATAGTATATAATTGCTTTTCGCATCACTTTTTTTTTGATACTAATCTGTCGTAAACAAATATCCTCGAATACAGTATTATAACAAAGTCTCTTAACTACTGTTGTTGGATTATTTCGTTAGTTAACTATTGACCACCAAAACGAAAAATGAAGCAATATAAATCCTTGTCTTGGAAATACAAAGGATGTTAGATTACAATAAATCCAGTTGAAAATTTAATTTTTCAGCTGAATAAGGAATATTTTCGTTTCCGTATTCAAGCACATATTACACATGATAGAAAAAGAAATTTTGTTTACCATAAACAATATTTTGTCTATGGCAATTAAGTTAAACATTCCAAATATTTAGTTTTGTGAAAATTTGAATATGAATCAAACATTATTTAGTCTGCAATTGATATGTCATATGGCAAGAGTGAAAGAGTTCGTTGTGTTATTCATGATGGTCTTTATCGCAAGATTGATGAAATAAAAGTAGAACGGTATATTCAAATTCGATTGAAAACTAAAAATGTTAAAAGACAATATATGAATATGATTATCATACGAATGCATTTTTATTTGCAACGCAAACACTGTCGAACTCATATTTACCCATGTCATCTTTTTCTTTTAATGAAAATAAGTAATAGCAAACATATTCATAGCATTGAAAGTGTATCAGTCACCATAAAAAAAGAATCTTTTTTTTAGATATTTTCTTATTATTTAGCTGAGTTATTGATACAGTTATTCATCCTATAGTCTGTCTTCTCTTACAGACATATATTATAAGATCTATCAAGTAGTCTACATTTTATTGAGTCTTTTTTTTTTTATTACATTTAAATTCATTCCGATCAAGGTCTTAAGAATATTCTTCAAACTTTTGAAAAAATTGTACATCGATTAAGATTTTCTAAATTCAATATAAACCATTAATATGCAATAATAGCTTGATCTTTCAATGTATCTTCTTCAGATATACACGAAAAAAAAAATATTCATTCAAATCTTGTGATTAATCATTCTAATTTTTATTTAGATTTGATTTAACAGTTTATCTATTATATAAATATTAATTTATATAAAATAAATTCTATATATTGTATTGAAGAAGTAAGACAGAGGGAGTTAGAAGGTAGAGATAAAGAACCATTAATTGACTATGATTAACTATCGATTAACCTAACTTACCCATCAGTTGATTGTGGTTATCTGCGGTTAACGAATGATTTTTTTTTTATCGGTCTAAACAACATACGTAGTATACAATGAGTCAGTTTTTTTCTCATATCATTTTATTTAATGAACGACATCATCCCAGTATATTCAGTAGATTTGATTATAAAACAAAGAAATTTTTTTTCAACATTCTCACTGTCATATTTATTATTATTTTTTTTTTTCAACGATAATTAAACAAATATATATAGATGTTAATAAATACAAAATTACAAATCTTGTAACATAGCCATACGTTTTGATGCTGTACCCGAACTTGCTTTTTGTATAGTTGAATATTTATTATCTCCAACAGCTAAATTTTGTTCATAGGCTTTATCTAAAAATGTTTGTCGTTCTTCAATTTTTTTTGATTGTATAACATTTTTTAAATCTTTTAATTGTAATGCTAATTGTGCTTGTTTAGATTGTTTTTCCATTAAAATAGCTCTAAAAATATAATTAATTTAGAAGAATTTCAATTCTTTTTTTCTTATGTAAACAAACCGTTCATCAGTTTGATTTGAGTCTTGATTTCTAAGAATTGGTCGATACTATAGTAAAAAAAAAAAAAAAAGAAACAAAAATTGAATTAATTTTGTTTTTGTTATTGAAAAAAAATTTCTATAATTTTACTGGTGGTGGAGATAATGCTCTTGGTGATGATGATGATTGTACGAGATTTTGTTGTGCTTGTGCTGCAGCATTTGTAACAGCAATAGATTGATTAAGTTGTGTAATTGAAAGTAATTTTTCTCGTGCAGCTGCTTCAGCTACACGCCATTTTGCAACTTCAATTTTTAATTCTTCTGCTTCTTTACGACTATAAATAAATTTAATAAAAAAAAAAGTTTTAATTTTTAATTTTTTAATTATTATTTATGTTAGTTCCCATTTCCTTTTATGTTAACTAACTGACCGTTGATCAATAGTTGATGAAAGAAGAGAAACTTCGCCACAACGACATGAATAATAAGCAGTATTACTGTTTTTTTATTTTTATTTTTTTATTTTTGTTTATTTAGATAATTTTAAAATAAAAATTAAAACTTACCTTTTTACGGAATCATTTACTAATGTAGAAATAATTTGTTCACATTCACTAATTTGTCGAGCATAAAGTCGTTTTTCTTCTTCGTTCTATAAATACCACAAATAAAAAAACAAATCGTGTTTTTGTTTTCTTTTTTAGTAGATATTTAAAAAGAAAATCAATGACAAACATACTCGACTAATTTCATATTTACATCGTTCAAGTTGGGATTCAATTTCTAATGCTTTTTCAGCTTGTAATCGAGCTTCTTCACTACTTATATGTGCTTTACGTGCTAATAATTCAGCAGCTTCTTGATATTTAAGCTAACAAAAAAAAAAAAACAAGGATATATTTTAAATAATAAATTTTTTCATTAATATACCAATGTATCATGTATATCTTTCATTTGTTGTTGATATTCATTATATTTATGTTCGATTTCATCACGTTCTTTTTCAGCTTGTAAACGTAATTGACGTTCTCGTGTAAATATACGATGTTTTTCCTAAATCAACACATACATAAATTAATGTCGCAATTTTTTGAAAAATTCATTTTCTATAAGAAAAACTTACACTGCAATTTTATGCAAAAAATTCTCCTAATGATAATGATTTTTTTCTCATGTCAAAGGTATTGAGAGTATTGGTCATGGGTCTTTAATATTATGAAATACGCTCAATTTTCGATCACATTAGTTGAAGAGAAAAATTTGCTTTTTTTTTTCGAAATCAATTTTTACACGAAAAACAAAAACGTCTGAAGTCACCTTTGTTCTGATAGGGAATGGACAAGGTGCTTCTGTCTAAACATTCATTCTTTGATTGAATGTAAGATTTCTATTGATTAGTTTTATGAAATAGTTGAAAAACAAATACAACAAAAGAATCATAAGGTCAAAGGTTGAAAGTAATCAGAAATGGTTCGATTGAAAGTGTGATATCTTCCATATCAAGAAAATTTTTTATGTTTTGTCTAGGGTAGTCATTGGTTTTAGAAATAATTCAACCAAAAAGATCGATGCATACTTTAAAAGATTATGTAACTGAATAGAACAAAGAAAATCCAATATGTTATGCACTTCAGTAGTTCAAGTAAATAAATGAAAAACAACTTGAAATGTTTGCTTTCTTCTTCCTTTTTTTTTTTCTTTTTTTACTAAAAATTGCAAGTAAACTTCGATTAGTTATAAGAACATCAAATATTTCAAACAAGCAACTGCATTAGGATTCTATTTTTATCCTAAAAACAAAAAAAGAAAAGACCTTGTTCATGAACAAAAATATTTTAACCACAACTATAAATCTTTGTTGAATGTTTGTTTTCTTACTTTTTGTTGTTGTTCTTCAAAATATCTCATTTGTTGTATTTCAATTGATTGTTCTCGTCGACGTCTCATATATAATTCATGATTACCAGTTGCTAAATCAAGTATCTAAATGATGAAAAATATTCAAAAAAAAAAAACTTTTTTGTTTTTTATTCATCTACCTCTTTGCTTACAGATGATTTAGCAGAATAAAATGCAAATGTTGCATTTTTTTCACCGGTCATATTTAATATAACCTTTACAAAAATAAAGTGAAATTTAAAAGAATAACTTATTATTATTTGAATACTTTTTTATCATGAGCTGTAACTGATTTAATATCCGACCATGAAAAGAAAACTTCTGGTCTTAATTTATTTTTTTTATAAAAACGAATTCCTAATGAATCAATACCAAGCCAAAGTTCAGCTGCAATAGATGATTGATCAGATTGTTGTTGTTGTTGTTGTTGTGATGATAGATTTGATTTATTTCCACCTTGCATTTTAGATATTTCAAAAAATGATAAACCAAACATATCTAAATCTTGTGCATGTTTTAAATAAGCCATTTCAGATTCTTCTCGTGTTAATGATGTATGTGTACGCCATAATGCTATTATACGATCAAACCAATCCGAACGAGATAATTCAACTTTTTGAAAACAAGATAATGGTAATAAAGCTTCACTTTCTAAATTTAAAGGTTCTGATGATGAAGTTATTTGATCATAATCACCAAACTAAAAGCGATTAAAAGAAAAAAAAATTTTTGTTTTTTTTTTTTTTGTTATTACTTTTGCTTGAAGAGCAAGTGACGCAAGATGAGCAGCTGTATCAGGTGGACAATAAATATCCATATTAAGAATATCTTGTTTAACTTGAAGATAAAATAGATGTCGAGTTATATCTTGTATAAGTTCATTAGTGATTTCTTCAGGATAAAATTTCACAACAAAATATAATTCTACAATATTCATAGATTGTTGACCACTACTAGCTGATGATAATGGAAGACTTAATGTTGATGTTGATGGTGATGTTGGTGGTGAACGAAGAAGATGAGGTTTAAAATTCTCTGTTGAATGTGGTGATTCAGGTCTTTTAGATGAGATTATATTTGATTGAATTTGTATTGGTTGAGAAAGTATCTTAAGATAAATAATTATTTATAAATATAGAAATAATAAAAAAAAATAAAAATAAATAAACGTACTGTTCTATTCATTTGTAACCATGTCCATTCATTAGAGATTTTATCAAGAAATTTTAGACCAAAATACCAATGTTCTCTTAGACCAATTGTTTGACAAACAAGAGAAAACAATGTATGTCCTTTTGCTGTTGCCTAAAAACAAAACCTTTTTTTTTTTTTACTATTACACTTTGACGTCATTCAATATTATTGCTCACCTCAATAGTAAACTGTAATTCAGCATCCATAGTAAATACTTTACAACAATATTCATCAGTTTTTTTCTTACTACTACTAAAGACAGGCATTTTTAAACAAAAAAGGTACTGCTATCTGTACTCTTATATCTAAAAGAAGAGTAACAAAATCAATTTATAGTTATTGTTATTGCATTTTTTTTTTCGTGTTAATATTGGTTGTTGTTTTGTTTTTGCTTCTATCTTTTAAGCTGATATTACCTGAATAATAATTAATGATTTGAATTAGTTATATATATATATATATTTAGAAGAGCCTTCAGCTACAGTTTCTTATATATTTATAAATGTATATGTATATCCCGCTCTTATTTTTTTTTTTTTTTTTCTCATTGCCGAAAAAAACAGCAATGACAAGGGCGCGTGTTTGACATTATCGACAAGAAATACATAAAGAAGGAACAGAACCAATCGTTCTTTTTTTCTTCTTATTTTTTTTCCTGCTACGCAAGAAACCACATGCCATGCATACCTTTGTTCTCTCTATTTCTTTTGCTTTCTCTTTATTTTCTTATGTCTTTCATAGTTAAGTATAGACTTGTCGTAAATTGATATTGATGCGTTTATCATGTATATAACTCCAACAAACTTTATCATTATCATCAATATTCTTATATAAAATATCATTTACGAATGGATCAGAAAGTATACGTGGAATAGCATGAAAACAAAGACGACTTGATCCTGTCATAATAATAATATCACCAGAACGAAGAAGCATAGGTGATGGTTGACATTGATTTTTTGTTTGACCACCAATAAGAAATATAGCTGAATTACCAAATGAAAATGATAGAAGAGGTTTTATTAATGCATTATATTCAGAATGATCTGTATGTGCACATAATGTTGAATTTAAATGATAATAATTAATAATAACAGTTTCAGCATACATCATTGGACAATCTAAATAAATGATTCATTTTAACGATAATAAAATACATATATATATGTATATTTTATTATACCTGTATTCGAAGAAATAACTTGTGCTATTGTTTGACATAATTGTGAAAGTTCATCAGGTATTTTTGTATGATCATCTAGTTTATAAATTTTATTTGTCCAATCATAATGATAACCAAGTGTAGCCCAACGTAGACGAGCTAAATTTTGATTATTACTATTATCACCAACACTTGTTCGAGTTTGTCGAGGATAATTATTTATACATCGATTAATCCATTGACGTTGTCCTTCTATTGTAAATGGATTTGAAAGAAAATAGAGACCATCAGAAAATTTACATAAATAAAGAGACCATGTTGAAATAGGTTGTAAACCTAATGATGGATCTATATCAATTGAAATATTTAATGGACAATGTTGAAAATATGTTGGATGAGTTTTTATTGAATATGCTTGAGTAAAACAATCATTATCAGAAAGACGTCGAAAATGTTTAAATACAGGTGTAAAAAGATCAAGATTTTCAGATGATGTGCTCATAATGACTTTATTATTATTAATTTCTTCTTCCATTATTTTTCGTTTCTATACTGTTATTGTAAGTACAATGAATCATAAAATGTGTAATTGGTTAAATCAAATAAACGAATTGAAGTTTGATTGACTGTGAAGAAAATGTTATATTAGAAAAAAATAAATGTAAATCGATTGAGAATATTATTGTGCAAGAAATATTCTGAAAAATTGAATAATTTTTTGAATAGGACAAGTCTGCCCTCTATTGATATTATGACCATGATCAAGCATTATAGGATTTCTTTTTTCTACATTACAACATCTATTTCTGGTCAATAGTAAAAGCTAATTGTTTGAAACTTTCATTATAGATACTAATTATTTATATCTGCTTTATCTCGAGCTGAACTATTCAAAAAAATGAAATTTCTTTTTAGTATAGCTGAATTATTCAGCATTTTATTACGAAACGAAGCGATATACAAATAATGTTTCTATATAAAAATTCTTCAGAATTTTACAAGCGAAATTACATCGAATAAGAAACTAAAAATAGAGTTGATTACGAATTATTTATCCTTTCTTATCAAATATAGGTTTTGGTCGTCGTTATAAAGGAGAAATGTCAAGAATGTTAGTAAAAATAGAGTAATAAATTTTACGACTTGTCGCATGAGTATCAGTGAACACGTAAATGACTCACATATTTATCTTTGAGATTAGGCAAACAAGTATAAACGACTACATCATTATGTTTCTTCGTGGTGATTTTTAAAATCTTAGGGGAAAAAATGAAAATGAATGTTTTTAAAGCGATTCTTATTAATAAATTAATAGTAACTCAAGAAACTGGGCATCTTTTGTCGGCCACCACCAGTCTATAGGATTGTTTTTTTTTGCATTGGTCTCTATTTTAGTTATCGTTAATGTCTAAAACTATTGTTTCTTGAGCGATTACACATCTGCTTCCAAGCTTCTCCACCTCCCCCGTACGTACACAACACCACAGCCCATGTCCACACCCACACTCTAACCTGTGTATAAACAGATCAGTTCTCATTTTTGTTTACTATAATACTATATGTTCACTAGAATTACATTTTTTTACTAGAGAAATAGCGACGTTTGAGTGCCGATATGAATAGTATTTAAATTTTGAACAAGACATTTTCTCATTATGATTAATCCATGTTTTTTTATTGTGTTTTCTTGTTATTTTTTTGTTAACAATCACAAACCATAGTCTAAAGATAGAGAGTTAAAATGATACATGATATAAACATTATGTATACAGAAAAGAAGCAAGCGAAAAAAAATAAACAAGGACAAATTTAGTTAATTATTTATTCATCATGTACACGAGTTTCTTTGTACGGAGAAGCATCAGCAACACAAGCAACCATAGCAGCACCTTTACCACTACCATCATCAGATAAAGTTAATGTAAATTGAAAATCTTTATTAACCAATGTTTCTATACAATCTTCCATATTATCTTTAAAATGTGGATGATATCGATAAAGTGATCCATCAATACCAACAGTAATAGAAGGTTTTCCAATTCGATTAATTAATAGAGCTAAACCAGCAGCAGCTAATCTAGCAGCTCGTTTTGAAACTTGTTGACATATATATTGAACAATAGCACAATCATCATATGTAGGATTTTCTATACCAATATTTTCAAGTACTCGACGTGTATTTGAAAATTGAATACCTTCATCGGTTTCAACTGTTGAAACAAATTTTGTATGAAAACCTCCATAAATATAAAGTGGTGTTGTATAATCTCTATATGTATTACGATGACCAAGAAAAATTAATTCTTGTTGAATTAAATCAAGTATTATTAAACGAACAATTTCACCCATATACATTCCTGAAATCATTTTTTCAAAAATTTGTTTGCCAGGATTAATTGATGAAATATCAACTTCTTCATCATATTTTGTTCGGATAAAATTTAAACAACCATTATCACCAAAAGCACCCCATTCTGTATTAATAATAACTTGTTTTGGTTCATTATAATTACCATTCCATGTACCAACTTTATCTAAATTTTCAATATAACATGCATTTGTTCCAGTTCCTAATATGAGACCAATGGCTGTTGATGGATCTTTATAAGCACAAGACATTAATGTTCCAACTGTATCATTTACGAGAGCTACACATTTTGCATTTATATGTTTTTCATTAATAGCATCTTGTAGAAGTTTTACAACATCTTCATTGATAACACCAGAACAATTAAAACCTTTTGTCCATGTTGTTAATCGTGCTGATGCAAGACCTTCTTGTTGACAAGGAAATGAAAATGTAAAACCTAATGGATAACATATTCCAGTATTTAATAAATGTTCTTTTTCCATAAATTCACGTAAACATTCAGCTAAATGATCAAATAAATATTTTCCATCACCAATCATAATTGATTGTGGAATAATAAAAATTTTAGACGTTAATTCTATTGTTGAATCTCCATGTAAATCAATTAGAAGTACACGAAAATTTGTTCCACCTAAATCAAGTGCAAGTACTTGACCAGTTTCTTTTCCATTTGGAATATTTTGTACATATGATGGAAACATTTTTACTGTTGCATGTTGATGTCTTGATAGTGAAAGACCAGCATTCATTTCTTCTTCTAACATCTGCATTATATCTATGAGTTGATCATCACTTATTTCTAATGAATCGACAACTTTCTTGATTTGTTCATTCAATTCTGGATTTAAATGTTTTCTAGTTTGGTGCTTTTCTGGTGCACCTACACGATATCCAGCATAAGCAGCAGCTCCAAGAATACATGTTGTTGCAAGCCCGTATGCAGTTTTCCATATCATAGAATGAATTAAATCATCTTGGAATATTTGAACAAACTGTAATGACATGATTTCTGGATTCGTTGAAAAAAGTAGAATAAAATTTTTCTTTTTTTTTATTGAGGTATACAAATGTATCTAGTTATTTTAATGATGGAAAGAAAGAAACGAATGCAATATATATATATCACAAATTCGATTAGGATGAGTCAATTTCATCGCATTTCATAGAATGAGAGGATGCCCACTATTTGTCTGATGAAATACTTCCTTTCTTCCCATCACGTCACATATGGGGGGTCCTCATATACACTGTTGATGTGTCTATCAAACCAGAAATAAGAATACATGAATCAAAGTAGGAGAAGAAAGAAAAAAAAAAGAGAGTATGACTGGTTGCTGACGAAGACATGTGAAATGGGTCTAATGATTCATTTCGTCATAGTATATCGAATAGAATAGCAAAAGCAATCAGATGTGTTTCAACGAAGAGGCTATTTGTGTCATCATGACGTGTATGTTGTTTCTCATATTGATATATGGTAAAAACTACATATGAGAAATAAAAAGGAAGAAAAAATCTAAAAGCTTAACAAAATCATTCATCTGAACATACATTAATGATTAAATGCATGGTCTCTCTTTGGGTTATTTATTTCAAGAAAAAAGAGGATAATTTGTTGTAGTTCCTCGCAATTACAAAACCTTATAACATGTCGAACAGTAGAAACTGTTAAAGTACTTAGTGTTTCGTCCAATTTATGATGGCGTAGGACCACAAATTTTTCCATGGCTTTGAAGTATGAAAAATGGAAAAACAAGTCTATATCAAAGTCTATCTCTTTCTTGATTTTTTCTGTTTTATTTAAATCGAAAAGAAAGTAGTATAAACGATTATCTTCATAGTTGTAAAAGTTTCATCATATATAATTTATATCCAACATAGGGTGGATGTGGATGCATGTGCGGGTGTTGATATATGTGGATGTGAATGGAGGTGACAAGAGCATCTACACCTACATCCGCACTCCACACCCCATTCAGATCCATATTAGTTACGCTATTGTGAGTTGTTGTTTTTTCTTTTGATTTCTAGCTTGTTGATTTTCTATGAAATACACAATTCAGATTGAACATTATGATCGACTTATGTGTTTCTTTGCGACATTCTTGGTATCTAGGTTGCATTTTCAAGTTGTTGAATATAATTTTCAATGATTTAGTAGGATTATGAACTGATACTCTTTACTTAGAATAGTAGGAATGATGGGTCAATGTTTTTTTCTGTAAGAAGTTTGTAATTCGTATGAAGAATTTGTGATAGCATTGAGGCTTCTGAATACATTTTTTTGTAAAAAATGGAAATGTTATGATATTTATGTTTCATCGTGTGTGTCAGTTGTATTAAGGTAGATTCAAGATATCCAGTTTTTTGCAGTTTGATACGTAAAAGCAAGACATTAGTGTGAGCTTCAGTGTGCTACTCAAGCTAAGGAGCCCATCCACACCTACAACAACAAGAAAACTCATTAACTCAATACACTGACATCCTACTCACATCGTGGACAAAAACAACAAGGGCTCCCATATACATGTCTAGTCTTTTAAACCGATATACCACTGTATATGAGGTTATATGACAAAAGAAATGCTCGAATTGTTGATTTCTGACTCAACACATCACATTATATGATAGTGAAAAGTGTGAAGTTTTAGTTTTTTTCGAGTGTTTCAAGTGTAATTGTTTACTCTATCGTATAGTTTGCACATTGTGCCATTGCAAGTGCGCATAACTAAACGAAGAATATCAAATCTTATGGAAAATACTAATATGATAATCAATTGATATAATATATTACAATAAATTTTTTCAATCATCTTTTCAAGAATAAAATACTTTCAATTTTCAACAGGAATACATCAGTAATGAAGAGTTATCGCAAAAGTGTCAATCTGAAAAATGAAAGTTAGTTATACAATCTTTAATCTTCATGCATCATGCAACTTGTGTCTGACATCTTCTATAGTGTTCACTTGTAGACTCGTATAATACAGCACACTTAATTACGGTAACTATAAGTAGCGAGAAACATGTGATAGTCACACCAATAATGAGATTTCTCCATGCTGTTGGATTTGGCTTTCTCCACTGTACAACTCCTTTTTCAATAGTACTATAATAACAAACAGAGACTTTGCCAATCTAAAAAAAGATAAACGTTGATTGTTGAGATCGTGCAATGTATGTCAATGGTTCTGAAGCATACGGGCCATAATGGTGGAAACTCACTACTAGAATGTGTACCAGTGGTATAAATAAATCCTTGTTGATCAATTTGTTTTGTAGTATTATATACAACAGTTATAACTTCCTGGTAACAGGTATATGTGTGGGTTATTGCTAAAAAATAAGAAAATATCTTCAAATTACTGATGAATATCAGTTTTTCCATTGAGGAAATTTAATCGAAAAGTTCACTGGAAGTTGGCAAGTCTGTGAGAAATTTGTATAGTTTCGTTTGTTTTTCTCGTATAAGTTTTCAGAAAATGATTTTCAGCTTTGTCAGAAAGTCTTCTTTTGTAGAAAAAAGGCAGTATCTTTAGATCTTTTTAGAAATAATCTTCTATTGTTTAATTAGTGAAAGTGTTATACTAAGTTCCAATGGAACAGAATGACCATAATCGGCTAGACAAAATGTTATGCTTAAAATTTCAAATATGTTCCACGATTATGAAATGTTATCGATGTAAAAACAAATGAAGACATGCAAATTATCCATTGATCCGCTACTTTGACTGAATTTGATATAAAACAGAAAAAAAATAACTATTTTCATTTTCTCTTTTATGAGCATTTTACTAGCTGACCAGATAAACAACAAAACAAATATTGACTTTCAAAACTCTAAGTATTTGCAAAATTACTCCTATTTTTCAGTCGATGAAAACAGCTTTTGGTTTTAATAATAAGAAAGTGATTCAAATTTACTAGAAAACCAGATATGACACAGGCCAGAAATCGTGATAGATATACTTCAAAAAACACAGGATGAAAAGACAAGCGAGAAAAATCGACGAGAACTCACAGAAATCGATTGTGTTTCAGGTAGAGTGATTTCAAAGAGAATAACTAGTCTGTGAATTGAAGTGATCAACAGCACAGCCTCTATTAATTTATGTCGTCATTGCGGTCGTCCACTTACAGTTCGAACAACGTTGAATGTCTGAACGGTAAAATAACGGTGCTATCTCATAAAGATCTTGTCTTTTTGTCACATTCAAAGGTCACAGAGTCAAATGTGACTGATCTTTACAGAAAAAGTGAAGTAATTGTTGCAAATTGAATGTTACGAGAACGTTTTCAACGTTAATATGAGCTATTTGAATGAAAAATAATATAGAAATCATTTCCGTCCATTTATATCGGAGAAACATTAGTTGCCGAATCTACCTGATTTAAATGCGTTAGATTATAGTTTACGAAATAAACAGACTGAATATATGGATTCGAAACTATATATCAGAAGAAGCAACATTCATACATGAAAAAAACATTCTCTAAAAGGAGTAAACAAAAGAAAATTATATTACATCATGTATTTAATTTGACTGTACGATTGCGTTTGATTTAAAACAATGAGAAGATTATATTCGTTGAATTCACGATACTATGTATTTTCTGGAAAATTACAAGCATCATCTTTTGATAAGAAAAGATGTTTTAATGAAGCGAAAAAAAATCGAAAAGAAGTTTTCAAAATAATACAAATGAATAATTATTTATGAACCACCCATTACTTTGAAACAATATAATTCCCAGTGTTTTTCTTCTTTCTTTCTTACAGGATGTTCACACTATATATTTTCTCGAATAAATCTAGTCTGAGAAAAGAAGACTCACTTGACTTACTCTCACTTGTTCGGTAACACTTTTTTGATTTGACGAATGTCGACAGAATTCGACATAGACTATTTAAATACGTTTTGCTCTTGTAATGCTCATTCGCATACACAACGAGTAGGCTCAATATGATTAAAAGTGAAATAATTGCCAGACACCCACAGCCGCCTATATCATAATATTTATTCTCCCTGTCGACTTTCATATTGTCGTCTTTGACTATCAGACCAATCAAGAAGAGAAGTGATTAGATTGAATAAAACAAGTTGTTTTACTAATACGTCCCTTGAAAATAATTTGAGGAATCTAACTGTTGAATAGTAAAAAGAATAAATTTACTAAGACTTATATAGTATTTTTATGTTAAATACGAAGTTTTCCATATCACACGTCTATCTCCGTTGTTATCATTCTACAGTCAACTATAACAACGAAATAACAAAGTGGACTGACGTCATATCAAAGTTAAAATGAATTATAGAGAATACCTTTCGACGATTCTTTACCGAATTACATAAAAGTCTGTTGACTAATAAGAATGTTGGTTTTCAAGAAATCTTCACTTTCATTTCACACATCACAACGTTTATTTTCAATTAAATGGAGCTTTTTAGCGAATTTTTGCATATTCCGCATAGCACTTAAGGTACTTACCACCAAACTAGTCAATAAATCGACGCCAATAAGGCTGAACAACAAGTTTGTTTACCTTCAAAGTGTAAGTAATGGCTAATAAAGGACTCATGCTCGCACTCTCCAATGAACGACGACGACCGTATTTTTTTGTTAACAACAATCTTCTTGAAGTACTCTAAATAGATTTCATTTCCACTATGATTGAGATATTGTCAGTGAAGCTATTTAAGACGATTGCTTACTTTTTCATTCAATTAAGATGAATATTATTTGCTTCTGAAAATCGAAAATTGTATTGTGCATGTTTTTAATCTCGACTGTAAACTTGGTATTTCTATTCTGCACTAAAAATCTACGAAGCGTTAGAAGATCCACTTTGATAACTGTCAAGTAGAAGACACTTTTCGAAAATCCATTTTTATTATTTATGTCTATGATAATATTTAGATTCAATATGGATAATATACATCTTAACTTGTTTGTCAAAAGTTAGGCTAAACGTTGATGTATAAGAGAAAAAAACTGCAGTTAATTGAGAGTATGAACTTGTTGATGTGGATACGGATGTGTAGAGCTATCATGATATCGTGGTGTAGATGTAAGTGTTATCCATGGAGAAAAAAGAATGAAAAAGAACAGGGTGTAGCGTGTAAATCAAGATAAGGTTAACACTCACATTCACATCCATGTTCATTATATATATTCAATGATTGAATGTTGTTTTATGCTTTTATCACGGTTATTTGATAAAATAAATCCGAATTCATTAAAATTAAATTCAAAATATGTTCAAAATCTTGATCTTGATTCATGAGGGTATTGTTGAAATAGCAGCTGCATTAGAAGATAAATTTTGAACGGAAACTTCTGATTGTGATTCGGATCATTTTCCTGTATTGTCACGTATTATTCAATCTCCATGTGACAGATATGATGTTAATGAACATAGAGGGTGGGTGTGGATGTGGTTGTCTGTTTATTCTTCACCCACATATACATCTACACACCAACACGCACATTCATACCCACACCCTATAGACTGATAACGAATACAGCTCAATGATTTCAATGACAGACAGTCCTTCTACTCGTAGTACAGCTACCGATCGCAAATTGGCTAATACTTGCTCTCTGTTAAACAATTGGAATGAGGATATTGGTGAGCGTCAAGAAGTCTCTCAGTCTCATATTTTTACTCTCATTATTAATATTCAAATGTGTTTAGTTCAGTCTTTCTGTTACAAGTTTTATATGTTCACTATATGTTTGAATATTTTCATGATCAGGTGGTAGTGATTGTAATCCAATATCCAGTGCTTTTTCAAAATTTTGTAATGCTGTTTTATAGTCACCTTTACCAAGATAAATGCCTCCTATGTTATTGTATGTTGCAGCAATTCTGAAATGATTTGACGGTAAAATTTTCAATTGGATTTTAAGCGTACACTGCAGCTCTTCTAGTGCCTTATTAAAATCTTCATTATCTTCAAATATTCCACTCATATCTGTGTGTAATGTTGCAGATAATAAAAGACTTGGTAATGTTGGATTATTATGGCAAATTTCAAAAGCTTTGGTAAAATATTTCAATGCAGTTTTATTATCGTTGTCTTCATAATATAATGAACCCATATTATGATATAAATTCGCATACAGAATATCGTTTTCTGATACTTTTTGCATTTGATAAGTTTCATATGATTTTGTGTAATATTTTAATGCTTTTTTATTATGACCCATATCGTTGTATAATACTCCCATATTATTAAAAATTATTGGAACTCCCCAATGATCTTCTGGTAATTCATTCAGTATCATTTGATAATATCGTTCCGCTTTCTCATAATCTCCCCTTTGGCCTAATAGTAAGCCTAATGTACCAATATTTGATATACTTGTAGTTGAATTCGTTTTCAAATAATTGAATAACATTTCTATTTCTTTATTTACTACTGATTCATTTAATATCAGTTTAACTTGCCAAACCATACCATCTTCAACTAATAGTTCAACTGATTGAATCTTGAATATTATTCCCATTGATAATAGTATTTCTTCTTCTCCCATGCCAAAATAACTCCTATCTTTTATATCAGCTAATGGTTTACTTTTAGTAGCAACATTCTTATCAAGCGTAATTTCAAATAATATGGATTCATACGATGGTCTATTAGAACCATTTCCAGCGTATGTTAACGCTAAGTCTTTTATTCGAGTTGTTGATAAATATGTATTCATTGAAATAAGACCATTCACATTGTTTTTTATTTTTTCTAATTCGTCACAACTTATACTTTGTCCACGGTAGACAATCAATGTTTCTTCTAATGATGAAATATTTTCGTTATATAACTGGTTCAATTGTACATAAAGATCTGTTATGAAAAAGCGATATTTAAAAATGGTATCAATATCCTGTGTACGTAGCGCTTTGTTTAGCTGCTTGTATAGAAAACTATCACGTGTATACCATAAAACAGCAAGATCTGGTTTATAGGTTTTTTCAAACTCGTCAATAATCTCTAACTGCTTGGTGTTTCCAGCATATTGTAGTCGACAATCATTTAACATCATCGCTTTCCCATTAGTTGGAGGTAGTTGAATTAAAACGTCTAGAAGCAATTGAGTCCACATAAACATAGTATATTCCTTGTTTAAAGTACGAATCGATTTTTCATTGGTTATACATATTGGTGTCAGACTGTTTAAATGTAATTTTATGTCTTGTTTTAGTTTTGCGATAAGTTGATTTTTATTTGAGAATATCCCATGAAGTTTTGAAATATTTATTAGCTGGCATGTGTCACTAGACTTATTATTCGAATATAGAATGTAAATGAATACAATCTGCTTAATTTCAAACACCAGTGGAATAAATGTTTCGCATATTGAACCAGCCACAATTAGAAAGACATGTTCATTTGCCATAATACCATGAATACACTCATCAGTATCATTATATATTTCTATATAATTATTACATTCTCGTAAATTAGTTTTCGTATCAAAATAATCATCCCTATTTTCATGAATCCGATCAACATCAAGCCATACAATAGTTAGATCTTCAAGATTTTTCATTAATGAAGCCATCAACTACTAAAATGAATTTTCTTCAATATAATGCACTTTTATTCGATTCTCGTACTAAATATCCTATATTATAACAAGTAATACGTTGTTTAATAAATGTTTGCTTTATGATTACTTCACTGTGCCCAATGATATATCTGTTATCTCTGTTTACTCATATTATCACCAAACAGCACAAAATAAAAACGATTTTATAACATGTGATTTTGCGTTGGAAAAATGTTTCAAAACAAAGTCTTGTCTCTGGATGAGTGAGTGAGACAGAAGCTGAGGCTGAGGATGTAAGTGTGGGGGAACATGACAGTGCAGGTGAAGAGATGAGACCATGGGTGGTGGTGGCTGTAGAGTGTAAGCATGCGTGGGTGTACATCGATGGAAAATAGATTGACCTACATCTGTTCGATACAAATGAATCCGAGTGTGAGTGTGGATGTGAGTGGGTATAGGTGCGTTTCAAGAGGAGACTCACACCCACATCCACACACTAGATATTGATTTTTGCTTTAGTTTTTACAGTCGAGAACTTTGAATGGATCATTAATTTCCAAGATTTTCATGCGTAACTTTCTTGGTCTTTGATATTTCTCTTTTAAACTTTAATAAATTTTTTTTTTAGTTTCACAAAATCGACTTTTTTAGATAGAAAATTCATCTCACAATTCCGACAATTGAATGTTGCAAAATTTTCGTTTAAACACGTTTTTTTATTAACACACACATTGTCGACAGACTTTAAAATCATTCATTATAATGCATCGGAGCGCATTCTCGTTCGCTAAAAAACGCAAGCAAATCGTTTAAGCTCGGGTTCCATACGCGGATGTGGGTTTAGATCTTTTCAATACACTCATATCTACACTTACCCTAATCAACATCATTCTTTATAAGTTGGTTAATATATATCTAATAGTGCATATGATCTACTGTAGATATCATAAATATCTAAAACTGACTCATGTACCAATGAATCCATTGATTATAATACTAGGAATGTTAATTAAAGACAACTGAATTTCAAAAAAATGAGCGAACAGCAACAATGCAAACGAACAATTTCTTGTCGAAATGTAGAAATTAAAAAGCATTTTACTATGATGTTCGACTTTCCTATTAAAAAGTAATCTAAACGAAAATTTCCACTTAACATATTTTGTATTAGTTTAGTGAGGCTAGAGAACACAGTTGAATTCCACAATTCAGTCCCAAAGAGGCTGAGCGAACAAGGTTTTTTTTTCGTTGTTTAATCGAAGGTTCATTTCTTTCAGCCATTCTTAAGATTGCTTTTGTTGAATATTATATTGAGTGTAACATCAAAAGCTCTTTCGATCATTATCAATCATATTATTGCCTTGCAATCATGCTCGAAGTACATGTGTTCGTGTGAATGCGTTATGTTAAATGGCAACCGGAGTTTTCTTCTTCATGATTTAAAAGTATCTTTGTTTTTATGTGTTATGCTAATCGTGTTAAAAATGGACTAGCTCTCACAAATTCTTGAAATAAAATAATTGTTCATCTCTTATCCTTAACTGCATTTTTCATGTTTCGTGTTGAATAGAATTACACTAAATTAGATGACAACAAAGTTGTTAGAAACGTGACATTTTCTCTTCATAAAATTAATGATATAGTAATCCATCTGATACAGAAATATTGACATTAGAGACGAGCAATTTTGACTTCTTTTGGAATCAGATGAGGTTCAACAGTATTTAATGTTTTCAGTCCAGAATTGGTATTAGCGATTTCAATTTTAAATCCAATTTTGAATCGCTCATTTCATGATTAAAAGATAATTGTGAACTAAGGACGTAGACCAGTTTTTGCGATCGAAAGATTAACATTCAAACATTCAATTACGATTAATTTTTTATCTATTTTGAGATTTGAATGACCTACTGACATGATTTAGTGTGCAAATTATGAATCTAGGCATACATTCTTTTGTATGCCAAGAATGAAACAACCTTTTTTTTTATTTGAATATTTTACTGAGCACCGCTATTCTAGATCTTAAATGGTAATTGTCCTTTGTAAAATCTAAAAAACACTCGGTGAAATAAAAAATGACAGAAAATGTTCTATTTCTCAACTCTTGATAGGTAGATATCAGAGATGAACAGAGGATTATTTTTTTGTATGTTACTCTATAGAGTCTGTATACTACGTCTATTCAATATCTTGCAGTGTTTGCTTCATTTATCTACTTTTCTATCACCATGTTTTTTTTTTATTTTGTTGCCTCTCTGAGATTCTTAAAAATCTAAACTGATAAAGTGTGTCGAGTATAGCTCTAAATCTAAAAAGATCTACGTGAAATACCAACTTATTTACATTCTTTTTATAAATATTTTAGATTCTTCAGAAGCAAATTATTTGTGATTTCTTTTATGTGTCATTGTACCTTTATTAAGAATAATTGGAGACTCCAGTGTTTTCAGCAAAGAAAGACAATTTTTATACTTAGAAAATTTGATATGTTCGTTTCTGATATGCTTAAAAAAATGATTCCTATTAAATATATATGATTTCTATTTGATTAGTAACTGCTGGATATCAGATGGAAGATTTTAATTCTGATATAATTTTAACAATGCTAACTGATCCTAATAGTGTATAAACCATGACTGCGTCTACTTTTCAACTTATTTAGTCCCTGTATATTGATGTTATCCATTATGATTACAATTAAATCACAGCGATAAAGCAAAGTATGATATTTTGACGCTCTTATAAGGATGATTACATGTCAGAGAAGATCGTAAAATAATTAATAATTGGAATAGTAATTACTTTATTAATACTTATTGTTTCAATCACCACACGCAATGAAAATTGACAATAGATCAAAACTTTATTTTTCCTTTTATTAGAATCTTATAAATTAAAACTTCGAGTCTCATAGGGAATAATTAGATTTTGTTGAATGAAAATTTAAAAGTCCTAAAATCTCCAGCTCGTAAATGTGGGATTCAACTGAGAAACTAATTTAAAATGCAAACACATTAATGTTTTAGGCCACTAAAATAGAATTTAATCCTTGTTGATAATTAAATTTGAATCCTGTTGTCATGCAAATCAAGCTAATATTGAATCAGTGGCGTAGTCAGTGGTAGAGCCATTGGGCAATTGCCCATAGCTCCAAAAGTTCTTGCCCATGGATATATTGAGCTATGCAGTGCTTGAGCAGTTAGTGCCCATAGATATTTTTGAAATCATAACGGTTGTACCTAGCTACCCGTAACTCAAAATAGTTCGACTGATGAATTATACATGACTCAAAAATTTCTGACCATGCCACTGTGTTGGATAATGCTTTGACAAAAATATTTATTTTGAAATATTGTTTAAGATTAGAGATCAATCGATTCTAGAATGAGAAGTTTATATTCTCTTACTTTTTTTTTGATTACATCAAACAAATCATTGTTTACAATTAACTTTTCTTTCTAATTCAAGGGTTTCAAGCATATCACATCATAAATATTGTGCTATTATCCTTAAAAGCTGGACAAAAAAGAGTTAAACATGGAACACAAGATGATTGGTTCAAACGACTTAGAATAAGCTACATACACTTTTATATGTGGCACCTATATGTAGCTTATCTTAACCGTTGATTGACTTCTACGATCTCATAAAATTATATGTACGGTTCATAAATCGGACGTGATTCATTGACAGTAACAACTACATCTACAGGATAAAACAGAAGCGTCAGAACATGTGTTTCGATTTATGACATAGTAAAATATAGTCTTATTGTATTTTGAATATAATTGCTTACATGTGTGAGCAGTGAAGCATAATATACGATGTACTAATGTTTAGAGACAGAAAGAAAATAAAACATTGTTTATTCGTGCAATTATTCAAGTGAAATGTACGTTGTCAAATCCTCAAAGCAACGATCATATGTTAAACGTAAAGTGGATGTCAATGACAATAAATTTGAGGATGTGGTGCAGAAAGTTGATGACAGTGCTATTGGATTCGATCATTCAATTCATCAAAATAAATTAGAAGATGCTCGGGTATGTATTATATGACTTTGTTGTTCATTATAGTTTTGCAAAAGTCAGATTTTTATCATTACAAGTTACATACATGTTGTTATCGATTTATCTCTGATAGCAAGTCGTCTGTGATGTTTCAAAAAAAAATTGAAGATCTTCGATTTTGACGCGAGTGAAATTTGAACAGATGATATTAATCGATCATTATAGCCCCGGTTGATTTTTCGGATATATTTTCGATTTAATTTAGAGTAGTTCATATTCAGAGCTTAAGTACACTTTGTTAGAAAAGATCCACGGAGAAAAAATGTACTCCTGTACTTCAAAAGTACAAAGCAGTACGCTTTTTCATCTTTGGAAGAAATCCGTGTAAGCATCCACCCATGTGTTTATGACGCTCTTTTTAATACATCTTAGAAAAATGCAATGATTTTCTTTTACGAAAAATTTAGATGTGTGTAATGTGATATTTATAGTTTGCAATAGAATCTTGTCAAGAAAAATCGTTCTTGCTTTTTGGAAGAGTTCAGAAAATGATAAATGAGCGTAATCAAAAAGATCAGTCGAATTTATCAGCTCGACTGAATTAAGAGTCAACGGTATAATGATATCAATGGAATCTTGATCCCGTGTGGCAGTCAATGTACCACAATACTATTCATAATAGACTGGGGAACCCGTACCAAATCGCCCGATTTGTCAATGTCTGATTTTTTTACTTGTTTTTATTGGTTTTCATAGTTCAGAAATATATAAGGTGGAAAGTTGTCAATTGATAAATTTCTAGTCGTCATCAAAATCACAGCTTTTGAGCTGAAACTCATGCTTTCTCATAGCATGAGAAGATCATCAAATTATAATGAATGTATTGGCCAACTAATGCTTTTGGGCTAATTTTAACCAGCTGTCAGAAATTCTCGATGGCTAGTAACTTCAATTTATGTACTCTTTACATAAATGTTAGAGAAAATTTCTTTTTGTTGTGGACGTTTTTCTAACTGCTAGCTGATACAACTGTGGAAGTATCTAGAAATTATAATCGTTAAAACTATGAAGTATAGTATAAAAATTGAGCTTTCTAGTTCATTTTGCTTTCATATCAACAGTACTAGTGTAATACAGATCTTGAAGTCTTTTTAGTTTTGTTATATAATGATTGCAATTAAATAAACTCTAATATAATCAATTCTTCTAGAAGTAGGTGAAAAGTTTTGAAAACCTTCTTACTGATTTCTTAACATGAGTATAAATGAAATGCTACAAATTAAAACAAGAGTAACTACTCTTAGAAATCTTAACAGTATTATAAGTTTCACATTGTAAGTCTTTGTGTAACTGTGTTAATGAACTTTTTCTCAAAAAACCTATTAAGTTAATTGATAATTTTAAGCGTACCGATTTTTTTGTCAGTGAATTCTGCAACTGAACTGATCTATCTGGTTCGATTGAAAAAATTCAACTGATTTCAAGCTTGATGTATATACATTATGTTATATAGTAAATTTCTAGAAAAATGAAGAAAATCATTGTGTATCTTTTGAGGCGATTTTATTATTGTAAGTTTTTGGTGCTATATAACAATAGAACAGAAAAAGTGAAGTATGATTAGATGCACCATTGAATGACTGTCATAATTTTAATGAGACTTAATCATTCTAGAAGCATTGCTGCAATGCAATAACATTGGCTATAAATATAAGATGACATAGTGTCATTTACGCAACAGAACTCAAGTGATATAGAAGTAAAATTGTTAGTTCACGAGATCTAGCCTAGTTTAAGTTGAATGAGTTCGTAAATGTTGATCTTGTCTGTATTCACGCAACATTTTCACATACTTACTCAATATGTAGTCAACTATCATTTTTTTTCTACGTTAATACATTTTTGCATATCCATAACAAATACGTTAGGTTATTTAAAAGCAGAAAACAGAAATCTTCGTTTTTGAGGAAGTTTTCGTCATATAGTATAAATATCCACGATAGTGATATATCATCATCAGGACATATCACGATGTACAAGTTGCCAGATTTTCTTAATAACTAACTTTTAAGTATTGATACTGATCGACAAAATAGAATTTCGTGAGAGCTTACATAACAACGAATTGATTGATAATAAAATATTTTTTGACATGTAGAACGATAAAGAGACGAATGATCAACAGCAAATAACAAGCAAAAACGATTCACAGTTGCAATTACATGAGCTTCCACAGAACTTGAATGAAGAAGAAAAAATTCATGGAAAGAAACATGGAGTCGTGAAAAAAGATCTTGACGATACGACAGATAACTCAATTAGCAAAAATCATCGAGTCGTAGACACTTCTACTGCCGAAGAAAATCCGAAAAAAACACATGGGATCGTTAATAATGAAAATATTAACCTTGAACCTATTGTGGAATACGCTGAGGAACCTTTATTACCATTAGCAGAGGCATGTGCTCCACTGATCAACATCGTTGACGATATCTTGACTTACGTTCAATTGGCTCTCGATGAAACTCCAGAGGAACCAGTAGATGGTCTGACAGTCGATGAAAGTGCATCGATTCGTCTTTATACGATCGAATGGCCAGGCTCTCATCGAAGTCTCTATTCCAAACTTAATCGTACTCTTAAGGCCGTCGATCGCGAGGAACTTCGTCCCTATTTTAAGTACCTGAAACTACTTTTAACTGCTCTAGTTAAACTACCATGCGTTCCATCAATGACTATCTGGCGAGGAGTCACCAAAGATTACAGTGCTAGTTTTCCACCTGGAGAACTTGTAACATGGTGGACATTTTCATCTTGCACAACTACAATGACGGTACTTGAGAACAACATGTACTTGGGTACAACAGGCTCGCGAACGCTCTTCTCCATCGAAGCCATCAATGGTCGAGCAATACGAGATCATTCACATTTCGCTACTGAAGATGAAATTCTTCTTCTACCTGGCACACACATGGAAGTTCAATCACAAATGATTCCAGCGACTGATCTTCACATTATTCATTTAAGACAGATCATTCCGAATGAAGTACTTCTGAAACCTCCTTTTGAAGGTACCTTGAACGTTTTCAATATTTCATTTTAAATTGAATTATTTCTCTGTACAGGTGCATGTCTTTATCCTAAAACTACGTACGTATCACTTTCTTTTCTCATCAAATTATATTTTTAACGAGAATTTTATATTAATTTGAAGGCAAAAATGGTATCACAAGAAAAGATTTATTCTTCTAATGTTTCTATTAACGATTATTACCTTGGGAGCAATTATTCTTGGCTCTGTTTTAGGATCAACACTAACCAAGAAAGTACCAAGTAGGATTCTTCTTAGTCAGTCGAGTTCGAAAATAAGCAATGTCCTATTTCGTGTGTGTGTATCAGAAGAGATATAGTCATGATGCTAAACGAAACTCGATCATGTTTTAAGACAATAAGTATTATCTTTTAATAATGATAAACAAGAGTTCTGACTACTATTGAAAACGATCAGTCTAAATTCCAATAGAGAGATACTTTTAGAAAAATAGCATGGAGCAGCACATAAAAGATTCTTCTCCTAGATATGGTAGGTGAAAATTCGGTTCAAACTATACTCAATGTAGAAAGTTTACAAGACTTTTCTTTTAAAAACATGCTGACCTATTCAAATTCTCTAGAAAGTATGCATTATTGTTTGAATGCGTTTAGTGAGCTTTGAGAAACTCTAACTTTTTCGTTTCATGTTGCCAAGTTCTTATCTGCAAAAAATTGATGCTGTTCTATGTGGAAAATGTTACCGATCTTGAGATCAGTATAGATTCTCTCAGTCTGAATGGAATATGAGAACAAGTAACAAGTTTGAATCTAGCCTATGTATTTTTTCATTTGCACTTAGCTCCAAAATATGTTTGCACGAATCCTTACACATCTCCAATCAGCTATGATATTGGTAATACTCCAATGTCTGCAACATTCGGTGATTTCAACAATGATGGAATACAAGATCTAGCTGTAGTCAATCAGGGAGACAATACTATGAATGTGTTGTTGGGTACTGATAAAGGCACCTTTCCAATTGACACGACGTATATGACTGGTGTCAATCCAATCTCCGTGACATCCGGTGATTTCAATCATGATGACTTATTGGATTTGGCTGTGGCAAATTTCAATGAAAACACGATTAGTGTACTACTTGGTAATCAGAAAGGAGGCTTTACAACTCAAACAAAGTATGAAACAAGAGAAGATCCAATCTCTATTACATCAAGTGACTTTAACCACGATGGTCATCTGGATTTAGCCGTAGCTATTTTTCGTGATAATAGTGTTAGTGTATTTCTTGGTTATGGCAACGGAACATTTAGCACAGCAATTCTACATGGGGCAGGAAGATGGCCAATTTTTATAATATCAGATGATTTCAATAATGATACGAATATCGATTTGGCAGTGGCAAATGGGGCCCAAAACACTCTCAGTATATTGCTTGGTAATGGCAATGGATATTTTCAGACTCCATTAAAATTTGAAACAGGCGATTATCCACGTTGGATCACATCGGGTGATTTCAATCACGATCAAAAACAAGATCTTGCAGTAACTAATAAACTCAATAATAGCGTTAGTGTCCTATTCGGCAATGGTGATGGGACATTTCAGTCTCAAGTTAAGTATAAGACCGGAGCATATCCAAACTCTATCATATCAGGTTATTTCAACAATGACAACAATCTAGATTTAGTAATTACCGATCAAATAGATAACAGTATAAGTATACTACTCGGCTATGACAATGGAACGTTTAACGAACGATTAACATATAGTACTGGTAATTTTCCATTTGGCTTGACATCGGGTGATTTCAACAATGATACAAATTTGGATTTAGCAGTAACTAATTCTAATGAGAGCACAGTTAGTGTATTATTTGGTAATGGAAACGGAACGTTTCAAACTCAAATAATATATTCGACTGGTTTGACACCAAATGCAATTCTATCGAATCATTTCAATAATGATACAAATTTGGATTTGATAGTAGCAAACGTTGACGACAATTATATTGATCTGATGTTAGGTACAAAAAATGGAATTTTTCAGGCTAGAATAACGTATGCCGTTGGGCAAAACCCTCGAGTTGTAATATCAGGTGATTTTAATAATGATAAACGACTAGATTTGGTAGTTGCCAACTCCGCAGATAACAATATTGGTGTTTTCATAGCCGATAGAAACGGATTCTTTCAGTCTCAAGTGACATATACCACTGGCAAGTCACCAATATCTATCACATTGGGTGACTTTAACAATGACACAAATTTAGATTTAGCTGTGGTGAATAATCTCGATAATAGCTTCAATATATTTCTTGGTAATGGTGATGGGATTTTTCAGACTCCAAGTACATATAATACTGGCAATGCACCAAGCTGTATAACATCGGATGACTTTAATAATGATAAAAAGTTAGATCTAGCTGTGACGAATTATAACGAAAATAATGTCATGGTGATGTTGGGCAATGGAGACGGTTCTTTTCAAAGTCCTATAAAGTATGAGACTGGCAAGAAACCGAGCTATGTTATATCAACTGATTTGAATCAAGATGGAAGAAAAGATCTAGTAGTAACAAATTTCGGTTCGAACACTATAATCATATTTCTAAGTAATGACAGTGGACCATTTCTCATTGAAATGCAATATAGCGTTGGTAAGCAACCGATTTCAGTTGTATCGGATGATTTTGACTATGATGGCAAGATGGATCTGGCAGTATTATGCTCTGCCTCAAACAGTATTAGTATACTACGAAACGCAAGCAGAACGTTCTCATCTCAGACAACGTTAGGAGCGGGTTGTGGACCTACTTCTATAACAGCGGTTCGTTCAAACTACGACAAAAAAATAGATCTTGCAATAACGAATAGAGGTACTAACGAACTGACTATCTTCCGCAATATGTGCCTATAAACAATTGATCGAATTTCATTCCAATCCAACAGAATTTGTTTTTTTTTTCATACTTTACTTTCGACTGTTTCACTAGGGTGTTTGTTTTTTTCTTTTAAAGAAATATCTTATAATAAACATATGTTTAGTTATGAATATTTATTTCTCTGATCGTGTTGTTGCTTTCTAGCATCATGTTATTCGAAAAATATTATGAAAAACATGAAGATATAACCAAATAGTACAGGAAATAATAGACAAACGGAAAAGTACGCAATCTATGGACCAAAGATTTTTTTAATAAAAATATTTGTTCATCTTAATTGAATTCTACAGGATGATTATAGAATTATTGATGATATATAGTCAAAAGAAAGTTATTCTAAAAAGTAAACCTTTCATTTCTCTCGTCAGCAGAGTGAAAATCAACCAACTTGTACGTACGCGATAGTGTATTTCAGTCTAGTTTTCATCTGCTTCTTGACACTTTGTTTTTCATTTTCTTATTGAAGCTCCTGAGAGATTTTCTAGCCTTTCACACAAATTGTGTTTTCATTAGTCACTTCACATTGACTACAGATAATCATCATCCTTCTACTGTCACTTATTGCTCTTTTATGAATTATGATAGAAATAAGCAAACTTGAATTTGGTTTATTCGAAAGAAAAATGTACTCAAACGATTAATAGTAATTGCATCAAGAGATAAGCAGTTGAATTTATTCGAAAATGATACAACCTATTTGTATGTTGTACGGAGTCAGTTGCACAAGATTACGATTTTGTAAATATGACCATATGTGAGAATTTTTACCTTTTCTTCTACAAAAAAAATCATGTTTATTTATGAGAAAAAAAATTGACTAGGGTGGATGTAGATGTGATGTCGGGCTAATAGAAAGTCTTTATTCACACTCATATCGCACATTCATTTTGATACACATAGCTTGGATGCAAAAAAATAGGTTGTGTTCGACGACCAGTAACCACCACTGATTATAATTCAGTGGGGGAGTGCTTGCAACAACAGAAAACAACGACAGTAAGAGTAATAAGAACTGGAACACGAGGAGTAGGAAGACCATGAGGACTAGCATGGCAATAGATTGCACATAACATCATGATAAGATAGAAATACAGATAGATAGGCTATCTATAAATGCTTTAATGAAAATATCGAGAAGAGAAAGCCTTATAGTTTGAAATATCTTTCTTCGTGTCTCCAATGCGTGCTTTACTATGAGTATTTTTATTTTCCTACTAAAGTGTATGATATACAGTATTAAACAAATCTATCAGTTAATAAAAATGTGAATTAAAAGTCAGAATACTTCTTGTCTGAGATTCTTTGATCTCTGCTATATTTACAGAAATTTCACTCTTTTAGCTCTTTTTTGTTGTCAAATCATAGAACTTTTTCATTGAAAACTTACTGAATGATTGGTATTCTAATCTTAGGTATCCCACAATAATATAAAAATCCTTCACTATAAATACAAATAATCAAAGATTTCGAGCAGTCTCCCTATATTCGAATGTGAAGAAATGTTGAGTAAACGCAATCTCGTTACGTATATTCGAAACTTATGGGGTACTCCAGGCAAAAAGAATCGAGAAGTCAAAACTCGACGACTGATACTCCTAATCCTGTTATAATATCAAAAATGATCAATTATCGAACAATCATCAAATTTCTACCAATAACCTAGTCACAACGCACATATACATTGTTTTCCATCAGTTTTCTTGCTATAATAAAAACAATATTTATCCATTTTTGCTAGTAGAATTCTTTTGACTTATAAATAGTTTTCAATACACAGTGTTTACAAAAGTTTATCTAAAATTCTTTTGTTATTTCGGTTAGTGCGAAATAGAACTATTCAAATATAAAATGGAAAAAATATATTTCTAAGAAGTGAAACAATGACTTATCCCATGGCTTGAATTATTTTTTTCTATGCTGGCGGACGATGAATCTATGCTGCAAAATATTCGATTTATGAAATTACTTTATAATGTAGCAAATTTTCATTCTATACATCAATACTCCAAATAAAAATTTCAAGAGTAACTATTAATTCTACTGAACTTTTCATCAATTGATCATGGGCTTGATGCTTCGGCAACATCGAAATCTTTCGCTATATTAATATTAACTCGCTCTCTCTATAGCTTATGTTATGTAGATATACATTTGATCTTTCTTATTTGTACCGTTCACTGTAATAAATGACGATTTCCTTGTCTGATTTTCATGTACTTTTATTTACATGAACATCTGAATCAAACGTTGATTTTTCTTTCATTATTATAAATAAATTTATATTTATACTTTTGAGACATTTTAGTTTGAAAATCAGAAGACAGTAGTATACTGCATTCAACGGAAAAAGAAATGTGCCCTAGCGCAATCTAGACTGTATTCCTATTCAGATAACTATTCGTTGTATGTTAATATATGCATTCTGACTAAGACAAACAAAGACAAAATGCTCGTTGTTGTCAAATCTATATAAGTCAAAGGGCTGATTACAACAACAAAAAGGTATCTAAATTTAGTAGAAACATGTTAATTGTAGCCACTATTTTTATTTTATTAACAAATTCGTTTCAAACATACAGCTTATGTTCAGATGATAGTGAATGTCCATATTATTGTGGCAATAATAGAAAATGTCAAAAACCAATATCTCGAGGTGAAAAATGCTCTGGCTATATTCATCATATTCGAGAATGTGATACTGCATCTTGGTGCGATCCCGACACAAACTCAACTTGCCAACTTTTGAAAAATATTGTTGAAAAATGCGAATATGATTACTCTTGCATCGATAATTACTGCGATTTGAAAACAAATACTTGTCAGTATCGACAATTCATCGATGAATATTGTCAAACAAGTCGATCATGTCATTCAAATTATTGTAACCCGGACACAGACACATGTCAACCAATAAAAACATTGTTCTTTGAAAAGCTGCTATTTGTATGCCTTATACTTCTTCTTCTTTGTAAATAGTAAACATCTCAAAACGATGCACAACACGTATCTGGAGATTTAATTGAAGTGAACTGAATGTTATAGAAATAATTTATATCAAATAAAAATATATCTCTTGAAATATAGATTTCTCCATTAGTAACATGAATTTAGAAATGTTTGTTTGTATTTCGAATTTTTTGAAATTTTTATATAATTTGAGAGAATTTTTGAAAGCGATTAGGACAGGTAATACGAGTATGTGGGTATTCAAATTCGTCAACAAATAAAATACTCAACAAGAATTACCAGAAATGGTATGGATATCAAGAAGATTCTCATGAAAATCTCGCATCTACATGAGTTTAATATTTGAAAAACTCATATGAATGATAATTTATTTTTGTTGTCAAAATTATACCTTGACCTAATTCAATGTTTCTGTATTTTATTGTAGAAATAAGCACAGTCATACACATTCAATTTGCCCATATTCCATCCAAGTGATTGTTTAAATATCTATCCTAACAGAAAAAACAACGATACAAATATTTTGCGTCATATTATTAAAAATATGTATAATACACAGCATCTCTATTGAAACCTCGTCTGCATGTTCTTTCGTTTTTTGTTTGTTAATTTCATCAACTATTGATGATTCCATATATTCAATCAATCTTATTAGAACTAACCAATATGACACTCATTTTGATTTATCTTTTGCAATGTCGAGAAGGAAGACAAATTTTTTGTGCACGGAATAAATTAAATTTTTTGCGGTCAACATGCTTTTAAAAATGTTTTTTAATTCATGCTTGTCGATTTTAAGCGATAAAAAAGATTTGGAAAAATAGTTAAAATTAGAAAAAAATAGTTATTTGTTTAATAACGATTTATGATCGTTTTTTATGGACGAATTATATTCTTTTGAAATGATATAAATAATATATGAACATACTGAATCAGCTAACTTTTTATTTTGCAATTACTCTTTATAAGAAAGCTTTTTGTAAACACTAATTAGAATTTAGTTCATATTTTATGAGTAATTAAGAAAACTAAGCCATAAGTGTAGACTTTTAAATACTCTTTTGTGTAATGTGTTCCTTATTACATACCATATTCCAAAAATATCAATTGATGAAACAAACGAAAATTAACTGAAAATCATCGTTAAATGAGTCATGAAAGATCAAACGATCTTAGAAGATCATGGGTACATTATACAAAGTATTAATTAAATTTTAATTAATGTTTAAAAAACTCAGTTATAAAGAGTTATAGCAAAACAAAAAATACACAGTGTTATTCAGTTTTCAATGCTCTGTCTAACAGAATACTTGAAGACCAAAATTTATAAAAGAATATTTCTCCGGTTATTGATTGTCAATATTAAATAATAATAACAAAGAACTTTTTAAAAACGTTCCTACTAAAAAGTAACTCATTCAATTTTACATCTTATGATATATTATTTTAAATTGTGTCTGTTGTTTTTTGGTAATGATATAATCAAGAAAATACTAAAATGTTTTAAACATTGCAGTCCACTTTACATCAGCAGTAATTTTAAGAGAAGATTCTTCCTTACAATTTAACTTCTAAATGAAGATCTTAATAATAGGAAATATTGAGCCTACCTAAGAATCAAAACATTACCTCGTCTATGGGCACAACAGAGTGACAAAAAGTGCTCTATGACGATGTCGAATCTGTATGTATGTGAACTTCTTGTTCAAATGAAAGTTAACTCATTCAATTCTATGATTGTTTATTGAAATGAAAAATATATACTCTAGAGCTTGCGTCAGAAAATTTTCATATTTTGGTGGATGTGGGTCTAGATGAGGCTGTTCTCTTTTTACACACTCACACTCTTTTCTAGAAATAGACCAAACAGAAGAAAACTAATAAAAATAAGTGAATCATGCTATAGATGAATCACTAAGGTGCAGCAACATATTCGATGATGTCAGAAATTCTTACACGTTCATTCATATTTCTTTTCTTAATTCAACTGAATCCGAATATGAATACAAATTTTGTAATATATGTAAAAGTCTTCCTAGTAATTGTCTTGTTTGAATCAAATCTATTGCTTCATCTAGTTTCATCATCAATAATCAGAAAAAAACTAACTTATGTGAAAAAAGCAATTTGAGAATAATGATGTACTTATTCTTCACATTTCAATTATACATCTACTTGTATTAAGCGATTCTTTACTGTCAAAATGTACCATTGATGATTTCTTAATGTAGTGCAAGCCGGAGCATTTCGAATCTAGGAGTACTTTAGAAATAGCATAAGAAAAAAAGGTTCCAGACAATCTAGAATTCGTTTTATTTTCATTCTTTTTACTTGAATGACAAAGAATCCTTTCGTAGGAAAACAGAACCTATTATTCATCATTTTAAATAGAAATGATTGAAAAGAATTGTCGTGAAGAGAAAAGCTCTTTTTAAAGGAAAAGAAAGCGATTCTGATCGTTACTTTTCGGAACACATTCCAGTTTTCTTGTCACGTTTTTTATTTATTAAGAAAGAAACTTTTGCCATTATGAATCGTGTTCTTTGCCATGTTACTCAATCAAAATGTTTCACTGGGATCTTAGATGTTGCGACATTTGATGTAGAAAAACTCTCCTTATTGAAACACTAACTACAATGTAAATGCATATTTACAATACATGTCTATCACTTGGACATGTTTTGCTTAACTTATTGTTCAACATTAGTCATGTGTTTTCAATAAAATAGAGTGCCCTTTTATCGGCACGTTTATTCCGTCAAATAAAAAGAAATGAAAAAATACGATTTTCTTTTCATTCTATTTATTTCTTGGAACAAAATAAAAATTATTTACATTTTCTGTTTTACACATTCAAGGTTATGTCTATAGCATTTAAGATGTGGGTGATCTGGAAGTAATGAGCATTGTCCGATTTCAACAGCACGTTCATGAAATCGAAAAGCTTTCAAAAACTCTCCTGTCTTACCATGCACTATACCAATGCTATTGTAAGATTGAGCAAAGTCAGGATGATTCGGTGGGAGAGCTTTTTGGCGGATGTCCAGTGCTTTTTGATATGAGGAAAGCGCATTCGGATAGTTACTTATGTTATAATACACTGAACCAATGTTGTTGTAAGATTGAGCCAAATCAGGATGATGCTGAGAAAGAGTCTCTTGGCGGATATTCAGTGCTTTTTCAAGAGTTGAAAATGCATTCAGGTAGTCACCCATTTCGGAATATACTAAACCAATGTTGTTGTATGTAGTTGCCAAATCAGGATGCTTTTGAGGAAGAGTGTTTTACTCAATATCCAGTGATTTTTGATAATATTAAAGTGCATTCGAATAGTCATGCATTTTTTGATAGACCAAACCGATGCCGACGTAAGAATTAGAAAAATCGAGATCCTTTGTTGATAAAATTGTTTCTTTGATTTCAATGCATTTTTGGTAATATATAAGGGCATCTGCATATTCACCTTGACTCTCCTTGATCCATCCGAGCTGATGATAGATATTTGCTTTTTCCAAATCCATCGTTGTTTGATCAAGCAAAATATGATACAATTCTTGAACTTTCGTGAACTGTCCTAGTTTAACTAGCAACATACCCAAAGAACCCCATCCTAACGGATGATCGATCTCTTTGCGTATCTATTGAGTAAGCGCATGCAGTTCTGGATCATTTTCATTCGTTAGTGTTAACTTGACTTGCCAAAAACGATTATTTTCATTGATTTGTTTGATTGCTTCTATGCGAAAGATGGAATGCATGGAGAAGAGAATTTTCTCTTCTCCTTTGAAATAACTGACGTCATAGACTTGTGAAAAAGCAATAGTCGATGTTGATGGACTGATAGTTATTTCAAAAAGAATACTTATCAGATCTGGATCACTTCTATTCCTCTCAGCAAACGCAAGAGATACTTCTCGATCAAGGCTTGTCGAAAAAAAGTTATTAAATGATAATAGTCCACCTTTGGTTTTTACCATTTGATCAAAGTTTTTCTGAGACAGTCCTTGATCACGATAAACTGTAATGAAATTCATATTCGAATGGCTAGTAAACTGTTGAGCATGAAGCTTGACGATGTTTTCGTGAGGATCTCGAACAAAAAATCCCATCATAATAATAAGATCAACTTCCATCATGCGTAATGATCGATTGAGCATTGAATAAAGAAAATATTGGCAGGTATACCATCAAATCGGATCATGTTTGTGGTATTCCCGTTGAAATTCATGGATGGTTTTCAGTTCGTAAGCACCATCTTCGAAAAGTTGACGACAATATGAAAGAAATTTATCAAAATGTTCATTTTGAAAATCAATGGTTAACAAGACTTCTTTTAGTATTTTTGTGTACATAAATGATTGGTCTAATTGATCCAGACTTTTTTTAAAGCTCCCATCAATACTAGGGACAAAACTAATATCAATCGAATTTTGATCGGATTTGTATGCAGCTTGTTGAAGTGGCTTACAGATTGAGGCAATATCTAGAAACGCACCTTTGATTTTTGCCATCGTTTCGTCCAATCCTTATTTTATGCTTGGTTCTCATTCAAAATACAAATAGTACTGATTTGTGGAATGTCATGGACAATGGTAAAAGTTGACTTCTCAAAGGCACCAGAAAGGATCATAAATATTTGCCGATCTTGAATATCAGTTACAAAATCGATGCATTCATTCACATCAGTGAATGTATGTAGCTTCTTGAAGACTTTTAATTTTTTGACGTTATTGATACATTCTTTGTTATCTACATTATCATGATTGGCATTGAACCACACCAATAGGAAGTTCTGAATTACGCAAGTACAAGGAGAATGTAGTGGCCTTTTACTTGCATGCTTAGATGACGGGGAAGCATTTGTTGATGTTATCGTCGGCTTTTTCTCTTTGTTCATAATGTCCGTGTTGCTTTATCAATAAAAAAAAACAAATAAATTGACTTGAGCCTATAGAGTATGTTGGAATTTTTCCTAGATATTTCTTTTTATTGCCGATTGTTTTATCATTCGAGTTGTTTTATTTGGCTTCACTTTGGTTCTTCACTCCTTTTTTTTCTTATCTGTTGTCGTCTCTAGTATCACAAGAAAACAAATGAAAGAAGAAGAAAAAAAACTATTCAGACATAGTTTCATACAGTATCTTTTCAATTTCTTTTTATGATGTTTGCATGTTTTTTCTCTTTCCCTTTATCTCAAATGCTTTTTTTATATTGCTCATAAATGGGCCGTAATCAGTCGCGTATGGCCGGCGTCAGTGCCGATGCAAACGTGGAGTTTGCATGTAGATGTGAATTTGATGTATGGAGATAGATGTGGGTGTGGGTGTAGACGAAAGTGGCATCTCACATACATAACTGATCAACATCCACTCTACACCTATCCCTGTATCATGCTATGTACAATGTTGAAACAGTAGCATATTCTATCTTCTATTTTTACTATGACTGCGGAATTTATATTGAGGTGTAGGGGTAGATATGACTTTCTTCTTTACAATTATATCTACACACCAGCATCCACACCCTTATTCATCTCATATTAGGTTTTTTAGTTGTCGATGGTCTATCTTTTGGTATGTTTCACAAAAGATATGAATGATTTGATGAATGACAAAGAGCCATAACTTGTATAGGATAAATTTTACTTTTTTCTCACAAAAATTTCTAATAGTCTTAAAAAGTCCACATTGACTAACTTTTAGAAGAAATGATATCAGAAGCGAAAATTGTCAAATTGTTAGTTTCACACGTCGATGGTTCGAATGAGCAAAGAATATGAAAAATTTATTTTTTGTTCGATGCTTTTAATAATTGTTAATTCCATGGTCTCTCTTTGAAAAATCACAATAGATTCTATTTACTTTAGTATGTTATCAAAGGGCGGGTTGTGGATGAAGGGAAGACCAACATCCGCACTCTCATACTCACATTCATACCCACACTCATATTCTATTTTACTTTAAGCTAGAAAAACTGTAGTGCACCAAAGCTCGTTGCATTTCTTTGTTCTTGATCCAATAATAATGTATGTAACATGATCATTATAAATTTTTGTTTACAAGAGGAAACAAAAAAGAAGCGTTACGACTTTATTTCAATCATCTACATAATCAATATTGTATTTGAAATAAAACATCTGATCTTGCCAGGCAACGTACCAGCTTCACATCGACATTGATACGATAGAGCATTGATAAATTATAAATTCACAGATACTTTGTTGCATGATACGCGTTATTGATGAAGAATACAGGATTTGAACTGTTATTTTATATTTTTGTAAAGAAAATGCTATAACTATTGAACTGGATATCAAGTGCACATGTATGATTTGATATATAAACTAGCATAATGATAATACCAAAAACAACAACTTTGTTACCTATTTCTCGTTAGAATTTAGACAATGAAAACTATTCATTAAGTGTTTGCGAATGATACTTCGCGATGACAGCTAATAATTTCATACAACATGAAAAAACAATATTTATGATAATAGCTAACATTTGTTTCGACTTTTCATGTTAATTTTTGTATTGATTTCATTTAACAAAACAACCCTCTATATATGTTTCTACTTCTATCTGTACAAAGTCCATTTTCATTCTGTTCTTGAGCAAATACATGAAAATTTAAACATAGATGAATTTATATTTTCATAAAGCTTCTCGATCATATTATACGACGAAAAAAAAACAAGCGCTACCATAAATATTACTTTGATGATTTCGGACGTAGTATAATATAGAAGGTTTTCAATTTAATTGAATTTTTATTTAAAAAGATTGAGTTCGATCAATATATTTTCTTTTATTCTTGTACAGATTGCTACCAATATATATTGCTCTTTCATCAACAAATCAATCATATTATTCATTTTCATGTATTCGCTTCATCATTACCATATTAATAAATAAAATTGTTGCTTTCAAAATAACTCCTATTTTGATGAAACAAAAATACTTTCTACGACGATTGAAATGTCTTTCTAGAAACATTTTTGTGCGAGACGCATCTAATTTTTCTGTGTGAATATTTAGCTTTCGCGTTCATTGATTTCTCTTAATTCGTTTGAATTTCTATATTCCTACTTTTCTCGGAAAAATTCGATCGTGATCTATGTTTGAATAAATAAAGAGTTGAAAGAAAATCTATTCGGACTCATGTCTGCTAACCGAAATGGTGAGCTAGTATTCTATTCTTTTTAGATATATCTTGTTTCTCTCAACGTTTCCCTTTTTTTAATAACCATTCCAGGCATAGAAAATATTTTTAGATTTTATTACAATACTTTTCACATTTGTCTTTTAGGTTCATATTAATTGATGTCGATGACCGTACAATAATGCTTCTATCTCTGTTGATAGTGTTTTCTTATTTTGTTTTTACTAATGAAAAACATTTCAATGGAGGAACTATCGGATGGGCTCCCATTGATCCTTATGATAATTCCAGTCCCGTCGATATTACTATAACACAATCTTATTCATGGACATATCCAACAATAAAATGTGCCAACAATGTACCAGCCTCAACTAGTGGATGGAGTAGTGCTAATACTAATGTGACTTGTGTAGTTGATTGTTCGACTGATGGTGGTTATTCTAATGCACCAATTGATATTCTTACGGATTGTACGTCAGCTAGTTCATCATTGAAAATGATGACAAGTGAAAAATCGAAAAATGTTACACTTTCTGCTGATGCACATTTTTATATAGCTTATAGAGGAAGTTCTTGGGTAGCATTAAATGATCCTGCTCAATCAGGTCTGGATTGGTCTATTGTAACATATATTGATCTTCGGAAACGACCAGATGGTTTAATTAATACTCCACCTGTTGCCAAGTTTGTTTCTCCACAGTATGCCACAGTAAATAAAACAGTACAAATAAAAATTCCTGTTTCGGATGCCAATGCTGGTGATGATATACGTTGTCGATGGTCAACATATACAACTGGATATCGAAGACGAAAACGATCAGGTGAAGAAAAATATGAAAATTACCATAAAATTGATCATAATTACAAAACAAAATATGACGACGACAAAGAAACCATAGATAGCAGAAAGAAAAGACAGACTTGTTCCAGTGGATGTACTAGTGGTGACAATTGTAATACAGGTTCATGTCCAAAGACGAACTGCCTGGGTATAAAATGTACCATTGCTTGTTGTGACTTTATAACGACAACATCAACGACTACAACTAGCACACAAACAACGAGCACAACTAGTACAACTAGCACAACTAAGACGACAACAACGACTTCCAGTAGTACGACAAGTACAACAACAGTGACTACAACTAGCTCAACTACAGACAGTTCAACTTCTACCGAAACTCCAGGGACACCAAAATCGACTTCAACATATCCTATTCGTCAGGCTATTGACGAATGTGCTGATATTTGTTACCCAGGTAGTATGCCCAATGGCACAACACTGTCTGATTGCACCATCACATTCACAGGTCATAAAGCTGGGATCTGGTATGCGGTTGCTATTCAGGTAAGCAGATTATTGTTCAATCATTGTTGATTCTTCAATCTTGGCCATCATATTATTTGACCAAATGAGAACAGTACACAGCTCCTGTTAGACCATTTTATAAATTAATAAATATACATAATTAACCATATCAGCTGCATCATTATTTTTACTGAAATAGATGATTTGTAACTTTTATATCACAAACACTAATCTCCACCAAAAAAATTTGATATTATAAATACCAAGAAAAAGTTATCAGTTTGTGACGTTCCGAATTGAGTCTATTGTGCGCCGTTATCTATCCTCATTAGTTGACTGAATTAACTGTTCATGCGTAATGTTCAAATTTTTCTTTTCATCTCTTCATATCAGATGCTTTTCTATTGTCACTACATATCGTGAACAATCTCGCTCTCATCGACTTTTCTCTTCTTCTTCTTTCGTTCTCTCTTCCTTTTCTTATGTCTTCTATATTAGTGCTATTGACTCTTCTATCTAAAATCATCGCACAAATAATTGATGAAATTATCAAATATTTATGTACAGTACGATTCTTTCTTGTTCTATAGGTCGAAGATTTTATTAATGAAACAAGTACAACGCCAATGAGTTCCGTACCAGTTCAATTTTTGATTTACGTTCAACCACAACCATCTTGTTCAAATCAACCTATATTTTTTCCTCTAGATCGGTGTTTAGAAGTACAAGTTGGCGTCTCAATTAGTTTTAATCTATCTGTAATGAATCTATGTAATTCAAGTGTGGCTAAACTTGCTGATATCATTGTTTCAAGTGAAATTACTGGTATGACTCGTGGTAATCTAACAACTTCATCAACAAATTCATCGGTCTCCTATGTTCGTTTCACTTGGACACCGCAAATAAATCAAATTGGATATCAGCAGTTATGTACAGTTGCATATACAACGTAAATTTTTCTCTTAATTAGATTTTTCTAAATGTAATATCTTCATCTGTTTTTGTTAATTAGTGAAAACTTACAATCTGACACATATTGTATTACATTTACTGTTAAAAATTCATCTGATACTTGTGTAACAACTACAACAACCACTACATCAACAACATCACAATCAACAACTACCACAACGGTAACAACAACAACAACTTCTAGTACAACGACTTCTGAAACAACTACAACAACATCGGTTACAACAACGTCAATGACAACTTCTTCGACATCAACATCATCTACATCAACCACATCCACATCGTCTACATCAACCACATCCACATCGTCTACATCAACCACATCCACATCGTCTACATCATCAACATCGACAACATCCACCACAACGTCTACTACAACATCCGTTACAACTACAACGTCAACGACTACAACAACAACTACATCGACCACTACAACTGTGTAAGTTATGAAAAAAGGTCCTTCAATCAAAAGAAATAACCACAATAATAACATCACTGTTTCTTTGTTACTTTTTTGTTGTCTCATAATCACATGATAAGAATGTCTGTCGAGTTTCAGAATTGTTCAAGAAAAAAGTTTTCGAATAACACTCAATGTTCACTGTTGGTTTCTATTTAAGAACTTACAAGAAGAGGATATAATAACCCATGTTTTCAAGTGCACCGACAACATATGTACATTTGTTAGAGTTTATTCAAGTCATACTATACTAACGAAACCATGTTTCTAATTGTTTTGATTTCTTTTTAGCACTACAGCCACAACAACAACCAAACCTTCAGGCAAGATTTATTAACTTTCTTTTTTTAAATTATAGTCATAATCGATTTGTATCACGAGGAAACTATCCGAACTGTTAATCGCAGATTTCATAGAGATTTATCCTAGTCGATAGAGCCCGACGAGCTGATTCTTATGGTATAAAGAGTTCTTCCCTATATAATCTTTAACTAGACAAAAATTAGATATATGCATTATCTACGTATTATGCTATGATAGACATCAATCATTCTGAGAAAACATTATTTAAAACGCCTGTAGTTTAATGGTTACTGGCTGTTATGATCTGAGTATACGAATATCGATCTACTTCTTCTTTCTCACATTTTACTTTGAGAAATCTAACACAGAATAAATCACAGCGGTAAACAATAAAGAAGTGTTCAAACCACACTGTTTACTCAAAATTATTGACATTTTTCATAGCATACTACGTAGATGATGCATATATATAATGATAGCAACATTGTAACATATAGAATAAGACATCGTTTGGCATTTTTTAGTCTATCAAGTAACAATATATAACCCAAACGTAGAGGGTCGATGATAAAGTTTCATCTCTCACATGCTAATACATATAACAACTTCAGTGTTTAGTGTCTTGAATGTAATCTTGCACGAGTAGAATTGATTAACTTTGTGTTGGTGAAAATTCCATGGGAAAAAAGGCTTTAAATAACAAGAATCAGCTCGTCAGCCAGAATCTGAGAAATTTTTGCAAAACATCCTCAAACGTTAAGTTTTTTGGCCGATATGAAAAGCTCAGCGGAAAATCATTTAATACTGAAATAAAGTGTTTGAAATCATATAATACCGATATGCTTTTAGTTTGAAAAATCTCAAGATTTTCATAGATTTTCATGTTGATTCTAATATTCTTGATATTAATTTAATACAATTGATTCAAATATAATATTCCTCTTTTATATAGGATCATCTATAAGTTGGTTACTGATTTTGGGCTTATCGTTATTAGGTTTATTATTAGTTCTATGCTGTTGTTGCTGTTTGTATTGGCTTTTATGGTAAGTATTTTCATTTTGATTTGTGCTATGATATATCTAAACTTGCTGATTATATATACTAAAAAAATTGGAATGCAACTTCTTACTTATTACATGAACAAAAAATAGCAAGTTATTTTTAGCTGTCTGCAATTCTGAGAAAATTAACATAATTTATTGATAATGAAATCAATTGAGCATTGATGTTTTCTAATAGGGGTGCTCGTTCACGTCGTCGACGACGCCAATTAAAAGAAGAAAATACCTGTGCACGGGCTTTTGATTCAAGACTTACAACTTTTGAATTAGAAAGACAGACAGCTTCTAGCAAAATATTCAAATCAAATACACCAACCAAGGATTATCTGATTAATAATACAGTGAATCATCAGAATAGCACGGGTCATATCTTTTCAGAAGACTCGCGCATAAATTTGTTTGATTCAGCTTATTCTAATGAAGTAACAACTATAACAGATATAGAAGAAAGTAGAGTTTCATCAGCAGTTACTGTCAAAAGAATGAGTCGTGCAACCATTCAACAACTACATGACATGGAAAAGCTGAATGAAAATGCAAAACCCAATAGTAAATTACCAAATCATATTGATAATACTGATGATAGTCAAATCATTGGACGTTCACCAGTTACAGTTGTTCGAATACCAAAATTGAATTTATCAAACCAGAACATTTCAATCACATCTCAACAAAACACTTCAAGTGCATCATCATCCAAATTATCTAAATTGAATCAAGTGAAGGTCACCAAAATACCACGAAAACAAACAACTTTAAGTCAACGAGCTCGAGCATTAAGTGCTGATAATATTAGCACTATTCATATAGGAAAGCCTTTTGTCGTAATGCAACCACTGACAAATCATTCAAAGACTGCTTCAATTGCTACAAATATCAAAATGCATAAAGACAATAGAGTAACCGTGAGAAAGCTTCCAAGAAAATCTAATATTTCTTAATCTCGTCCTTCATAAATGGATATGATTATTGATCATTGGACTGTTAACATTATCTCTAATTTTATGAAAATTACTTCGAAATGCTGTTTTTTTTTTCTTATTGATTTATAAAGAAAAGAATTCTTCTTAATATTCTTATACTTTAGAAGTTTAAAATTAATAATCAAAGCCATCTGGTTTTAATACTGTTGTCGAATAATATCAATAAGGATGCATCGAATTCTATTGTATAAGACAAGTCATTCAAAACATATCATATAAAATATCGTATTAACAATATCTTTACAATGCTTCATGTTAATGCGCAAAGTTGATGCAAGCCTTAATATTATATGTTCATGCTTTGCAAAGTCTATTTATCTAGTAGAATAAAAGAAAGCATTCGACATAATATCGATGTATGAGAAGACATCGATTTAATAATCATTTGATCGAAGAGTGTTGTAACATGGATAAGAATTATTTGATTAAAAGATCTTTAGTATTATGCACATCAAGCAACACGCTTGTAGAAATTGAAGTTACTTCAATTAATTATTTTACTGAAGAATCATTTTTCTTCAAGAAAATTTTATTAGTAAGTCAATTTCCATTGAATTTTCATCAAGAAAATCAATTGAAATCTCTAATATAGAGAAATCCGCTAATGAGATCCACAATACTTCTTTTGCCAAAAATCAAATCAACTTGTAAAGAAATTGTTTTCTATACATGAAAATGATGATATAGGTGAATTTCACTCTCTTCTATTGATCAATAATAGCTCTCACCCCCATAAATCGCCCTCATCACATTCACATTTCACGCACAGTAATCTCAACTTCAATTAAGCACCCAATACCATCTTCTTTGTCTTTGAAGATACTTTTCCACACCCTCAGAGAAAAGGAAGTCTTCTAAAATTTCTTTTCTTTTATTTGCATAAGAATAATCTTTTATGTATCAAGGGTGTAACAAAGTTAAATACCAAAATGATGGGCTATTTATTAGAAAATTACTATTTAACTTGAGTATCCGTTGAAAGTATAAATGAAATAACTTGTTTTCTTGAAAATAATGTATTGACTATTATTTTTGCATTTTGTGTTGCCTCTTTCGAAAACTAAAAATAAATAAAAACAAAGTGCTCATGTGTTCTCTTCCAATAGAAAAATGTGTTAAATTAAAATTAAATCATTATCCTGAATTGAATTTAGTTGGCCTGTAAATATACAATGTAGGATTATAGATCATTAGTCAATTGAAATATAATGAGAAAGAAGAAATTAATCTAACTCATAATATTCTAGTGAAATATTTAATGCTGAAATTTTTAACGATAGTTCTTCCAAAACATTTATTTATAGTATATCATAAACATGCTTTTCTTATCAAAACTTATGCTGACTACTATTAATTATGTTTATTATATATTGTAAACGAACAGTTCATTCGATTTGTGAATTAGTGATATTGAATTACCAAAAAAACTTCTTTTAAATGGATTTATGATACTCTTGCTTTATGAACTATTTTCTGCAATAAATGATATTGCGTTGATTAGTACCTTGCGAATAACAAAAATATATGTCAATTTAGTTATTTTTTCACTTGATCTATCAAGCATAATTATAATTGAAGTTGTCGAAAAATACGAGTTTTTGGTTTTGATAACATCTGCTCCATTTCAATGATAATGATCGGGTTTAACTGAATAAAATATAATAACAGGAGCAAAAACTCATGATTTGATGTTTTCCTTTTGACTTACCTAAAAATAAGCAATGGAGTACAAGTGAATTTTGAAGTCTCTCGATAGACCTTAGAATTCATCAAGAGTCATTTTTCTCTTGCCAATAAGAAGCTCTTTCTATCTGAAAGAAAATAAAATAGATAGATGCAAAGCTGTACCAATTATTACACAACAAACAATAAGATTCTTATTAATTTTTGTTCTGTCGCCTAAACAATCAGAAATGTAACTCATATATAAACTACGTGTCGGCTTTGTCAATGCCGACAAAATATTTTTCGGACATTGATTGATTAAGGATAATTTCATTTTCAAGAATGTCCTCTGAACCTTGTTTATACTAATAATATTAAAGTTTTATGTCTTTTGTTGAATATGGACAAATATTTTTTCAGTCTCTTAATTTAAGACAGCAGCTTTTGATCTTTTAGCAAACTTCTTGGCACTATCTTCTAGGGTTGCCACGAAAAAACTATGCTGTTCATTTTTTCTTTTACAACTCATGTTTTTCGATTAGAAGATGAACATCATTCGATAAAAGAAAAGAATCAAAATAGTATAGGATATTTTTCAAACGATTTATCTCGTATTCATGTACTCGATGTATTATCAGTGTTTTCATTCAGTATACATCTACTCTAGTGATTCAATGAATAAAGTGAAGCAACATGAAAAACAAAATTTCAAATTAATAATATCAAAAGAAAAATGTTCAAAAATAAATGGAAGAGAGAAATATAAAACCAAAACACGAATTCTTTCAAGAATATGAAAATGACAAGTCGTTAGAATACACTGTTTCAATGTTTTTCTGCTCGTTGAACTATTTTCATAGATCAGTGATGGATTTATGATATGATTCAGATGGTAAAGAACGGAGTCGGCATCAGAGGATGTAAGGAAAACTTTATAAGGTCAATGCAAGTTGACATCCAGCCATTTTCTATTAGTTTTGCTAGAGAAAATTTTCAAAAAAAAAGAGACACATGTTCCTTCATCATATCGAATTTGTCACTGCTATTCCTGTAGCTATCAATATTTTTAAAACAATGTGATAGAAACCTTTCGAGGGTATGGTGAATGTGTAGACGTGATATCAGCGAAGGGAATAGTCACAGCCAAATCGTCCATCCACATCCCTATCTGGAAATCTCATCTAGTGAATTGGAGTCTCAAAAGAAATCAAAAAAGGTGTCAGCGGATGTGCATGTCGGACGTGAGTCAGGATTGCTAAATCATTTAGATTTTTTAGAAAAAATTCCGGCTTTTTTTCCATTACAGGTATTTTCTCTGTCACTAGTTTTTAATATATTCAATAATATTTTATGATTCGACAGAGATTGTGGCTTTCATCTTTTTTGTCCGTTCACAAAAAATAATTATTTTTCTTTCATTCTTGCACATATTTTTTTCTATATGCTCTTATTCCAGCATGAAACAACTAAACGATCATCAATAAAAATTGTATGTCAATAGAATTCATTCCTATTGAATGAAAAATTGCTTTGAACTCATCTGTGTCTTTTACAGAAGCTTATGATTATTTCTTATCAGAACCTGAACTATTGAATTTTGTCTATTCCTATGAAAAATATTGAAAGGAAACAACGCGTACATTGATATTGAAATGTGCATTTTACAAGTTTGAAAAACTGTTCGTAATCTAGTTGAAAGAAACGTAGTTTATTCAGCTACAGCTGATCCTTGACTATTCTTCTGGATTTTTTTACATTGTCAATCTAGATTTTTAACTTTCACATATGTCAATCCTGGTGTGCCTATTTTTCTTCTGACCGTCACTCACATTCAGCTCTTATTTTCTTTGATATGATGGGTAGTTTGCAGTGTGTAAAAAAATCTTTATATCAAATGAAAACTTTCTTTTTATTAGACGTGTTTTTATCATTATTAAATCAATACGAATCAACTTATGATAAAGTATTATGTTAAATTAAATAATCAATTGTATAGATGTTGGGTGGAATATTTGATAAAGATATTGTCGTTCGTCATACGAAATATTGTTAAAAGTGGCCAAAAGTGAGGTTAATCGTCTCATATTTGTCATTGAATATGGTATACTACGCAACTGATTATAATTAATATTTAACGAACCTAATGTCGATGATAATTCCATGATCTCAAGTGGAATTGATAAAATTTTATTATAACTTAAATCTAAACTTTTTAAAGATGGATATTCTCCAATACCATCGATAGATACCAAAGAATTATTACTTAAATAAAGTTCACGAAGATAAATAAGTGATGGTTGTTGAAAAATATTGCCTTGAAAGTTATTTCTCGATAAATCAAGAACTTGTAAATTCGGTAAATCAGTTGATAATGTTAATGGTAATGTTGATAATTGATTTGCTTTCATAACCAACTTGACTAAAGATTTTAATGTTAAAATACTTTCTGGAAAGATTGTTAATTGACATCCCGACAAATCAAGAGTTTCAATTGATGGCACATTAAAAAATGAAAGATTTTTCGATAGAGCACTTGCTGTAATAGTAACACTTGATAAGGATAGTGTATTTTCAAATGAAACTGATTCCAAATTAGTTAGAAAAGAAAAATAAACACTGTCTAATCGAGATAAATTTTTGAATGTAGCTATTTTGAATTGTTTATTATCACTTAATGAAATTGTTTGAACATAAGGTGATATATTTTCCATATCTAAAGAAATTAATTTTGAATTTGATGACATTGTTAATGAAAATAACGAAGATAACGAAGATAAATTTTGAAATTTTAATGTTAATAATTCCTCATTATTTTGAATCTCAACGGAAGATAATAGTGACATATTAGCGATTTCAATTGTTTGTAATACTGAGTTAGATTTAATTCTTAAAGTAGATAATTCATCAAGATTTCCTAATTCTAAATTCTTAATACTCGTGTTACTTATTTCGAATTGTACTAATGATTGAAAATTTTTTATCGTTGATGGAATAGTTGATAAATTTGGTAAATCAATTAAACTTAAAATTCTAAGATTAATTAATTTATCAATACTTTCATCAGGTATTTTATTAAAATTTGGAATACTCTGTAATATTAATGTTTCTAATTGAATTAAATATTCAATCTCATTAGGTAAATCTTCAAGATTTTTAATATAAGATAATTTTAAGTATGATAAAGATATTAGTTGTCCCAATTCCGATGGTAAATGTTGACCAATAATACCATAATCTGATTGAATTACTAATGTTGTTAATTTTTGAAAATTTTTTATATCAGATAATATTGTTAGATTTGTATTTACTAATTGAAGACTTTCTAAATTTTTCAAACAATATATACTCAAAGATGGATTAACATTATTAAATATATTAAAAGCTGTAACTTTTGATACACCATCGTATTTTACGGATGTAGACGAAGGATCAAGAAGAAGTCTAACATAAAATGGATTTAGATTAATAATTTTAAGATCATTGGTATAGATGGTACAATCGATCTCTGCATTGCTAACTAAATTCGAAATAGATGAAAAGTGAAATTTTTTTTCATTGGAAAATGTTTTTTTACCTTGAATATTGATGGCGAAGAAATAAATAATGAATAATGATGGAAACATTTTCATTTTTTTCATTTTTTTTTGTACTTGTAATCTCATTCGAGATTTTGTTTTTATAGTAATCAAATGTCAGTTGTTGATTTTCTCGTTTATTATTTGACTTATGACTTGTTAATCAAGGTCAGCAAAGCTGATAAAAATCCCAGAAGCAAAAAAATATAAAAGTCATTACTAGTTTACCATCACAAAGCTGAATAACATGTATTTGATAAAGGTAGAAAATGAATGCATTATTTCTATAGGCATATAAACTATGGTTAAGTTATAAAATGAAGACTATGGGGTGCTCTAGTATTTCTATAAAGAAGCTAAACAACTATCATAAAACTAACTTTCGAGATATTATTAAAATCAAAGCAATATTACAACTGAATTATATGAGAACCGCAAAATACTGTCAATATATTATAACAAAACATTATTTGGCATACGACCTGGGATGATCGCTGACTGGTGTCTAGGACGATCTATAGAGAAGCAGAGTGTCCAAACTTCTGCTTTATATACTTCAACGCTCCTTTTATATTGTGTTTCTCAAGACAAATACAGCATTAGAATTCGGTGTTTAATGTTGTTAAATAGAAATCGTTTCTGACTGAGTTCTTAGTAATTCAAATAAGCTCAGATTATCAAGAAACTTCAATAGCTAAAGCTTGATTTGGATGATGAAATGTTATTTTTTGAACGATATTTATTTTATCAATATATCATTACTTCAACATACTGAGAATAAACTACATAAACCCGAGCGAATTTCCTTCGTTACTTCATTTTATATTTGACATGGATACTTGAATACACTCATATATACAGCTCCTGATTGATTTTCATTCGATGTTTGAAATCTATATTTATAAGAATTGAGCGCATCTATATGGCTTTCTACTAATACAATTGGGGTGTGTCTCATAGAAACTTTCTTGTTTTCATTCAATATATAGGACGTCCTTGGAATCATGATTATTTTATAGACATGAATAACTTTATTACTTACCATGCTTGAAATCGAAAACTTATTTTTCTAGAAAACTCATCTGATGGTTAACGTTGACTCTCTTATTTTTTGTTTCATAAGAATATATTAGATATGATCAGGACTAGTCGGTTTTCATTTCAGTATCAATGTGGATTTGTGTCACTGTGAGAGAAATGGCAGCTTCATCAATCTATCAGCAACCTACACTTTTTTTGCTTCTTTTTTTATATCAACTTAATTAAAATTACGATTGATTATTATCAATACCAATGTTAGAGTAGTATCGCTCGTCAAGAAGCCTGACCAATACTATCTCAAACTCATAAATAAATTTTACATGGTCGTTCATGCATTTACAATCTAGAACCTCTTCGTTTTTATACAAACAATAATTATTTAGAGTATAAAGGAATCTCTTTATATTCTACTAAATGAAAAACCGATCAATAATATCATCTACTATAATGTTTTGATTATCAAAAATCAACTAACATTTGCGTTTAAGCAAATCTTGTTTAATCCATTCACTAAATAATTCTTTTTACCGATAGCTGCTCGAGGTGCCAATCAAGTCTCTAGATTTTTCTGGAACTCCACATTCATACAGGCACATAATTAACTTTTGTTCTACATTGACAGTAATGATCTGCTCGCGCATAATCGGTTAGTCAGAGATCGTTTTCATTGATTCATAAATACCTGATCATTTCTTTTGCGTTTGCATATGGACAATGCCATTCAAATCATTTTGTTTTTGATTATCACGAAAATAATTTTTGTTCATTTATCACTTGCACAAAACCAATATATAACGGGTTATATTTCGAGACTCGAGTTGAATGCACAAGAAAATTCTGCACTTGCAAGACAAACCTTATGGAAAAGATCACTTATTTTCCCATGATTACATTTCAATAGTTTGTTCCTGGCGTGAGTTTAGTTATAGATGAAATGAATATGCAAACCGATATACCAACACCCACATCCAACTTTGAAATTATATAAAATCTGATAATTTCATTTCATAGAGCTCATCAATATATGTTTGAAATGAGTTTCTGGATGAATCATAGACGAAACTAATGGAGTCTGAAATGACCTTCATCTATTTGACTTTGTACACAAATTTTGCAACCACATGTGTGTTTTTTGCTTTCTTTCCTGTACATGCAACTGTTCGCAAAGACAAGTACGTACGTCAATTTTTTTCAATCAGTTCAATAACCAACATTCTTATAGACCAATAGAAGCTGGAGGTGGCTCTAAGCTTTATTTTGTATAATTTTTCGAATTGAGAAAAGTCTGCCTTTTCTTAAGGAGCACGAAAAAGTTCACTATGATTTGATAAAATGATCTTGTTCATACGTATAGTTGAAAGGTGAGTCCAATGAGTTTGTTATTTGACTGCAGTTCGATACCAAACGAATTGCAGCTGATCGATATGAGTTCCACTTCTTCCAGTCACATAGCCTACGGTGAATCCATCGAATTCTTCATTGAATGATTGGCCCCAAGGTCGTCCAAAGAATGGACTTAGTCTGCCTGTTGTTGTGGTGAATTGCAGTCCTGTCACCAATACAACATAAAGACTAGAGTGATCAAACAGAGGTATTGACACATTATTAAAATTGCCTTGCACCTTGGAGACCCTTTCCTCTTTATCAAGAAAAAATTCTTGTGATTTTCCATGTGTCCATTGATGCCCTCGAACCTTCGCTTTAATGAAATTTTGATTTTCATCAGAAGACGAGTAGAAACATTGAATATAATCCAGATATATACCATCATGTCGGGCAACCATTCCACTGAAATGATGATAAGATGTGAAATTAGTCGTTAACGAGTCATCGAAAACGTCACCTCCTTTTCCACCAAACTTCCTGCCAGTCTTTCTTAATACGGTGTCTAAAACAATCGAAAAATTATTTATGATAATGACATTCGAACAATTCAGCTCACTTTTCTCCTGAATGAGCTCAACTAATTGCTTCTTCAATTCTTCAATCGTCTGATTATTCTTCTCTTGTCCTTCGAGACTGAACTGAATTTGGTTTTTTAAATGATTGTTCAATTGAGACATTTGATTGCTTTTACGGATGAAGAGACCCGTTAGTATTCCCAACGCTATCATTAACAATAAGATGAATAATACAAAATATACGTATGTCAACATGAACTTGTTGCCTCCTAATGGTTTTGAAGATGGTGTCATCCTGTTGCTGACAATGACCGTGAGTGGATCAATATTTGTTTCATGGCTATTGATAATATTGTTGTTATTACCAATATTGGTTTGCTGATTATTGAAAACTGCATTGAAAAAACGTAAACAGAAACCAATCGAGAATGATTGAGTCATGCTTACCCACCATTTAGTGTACCAATTTTGTCCTCATGCTGGTCTTCAAAAATATCGGCAAAACGATGATCTTTGATTGGTGGCATTATTGACGCTAAACTCTGAATTGATTGATTTAGGCCATTGGATAGCAATTGTTTCATATGTTCTATGTAAACAACCACATAACCAATAGAAAAAAAAATAGTTGAATCAGAAATTAACCTCTCAAAAGTTTGACAGCGCCAATACATCCGATTTCGTCAAATGCATTGATTAGAAAGGTGAAGTCTTGTTCATTGATTTTATCTTGATCGAAGAGAGACTCCATGAGAGCAAGTGTACCACCCAGGGATGGATCATCTCTAATTCGTCGAGGAACATCGTTACCCATAAAGAAATGCAAGCGTCGTCGATCATCATCACTGAGACGAGCCTCTAACTTCAAAATGATGCTACGCAATTGGTAGCTATTCATATATCACACACTGTTTCTAAAAATAATCGACTTTTTCATGTGATATGATATTTTGACTTCAACAAATCTCTCATCGAAGGATTTTGGTTATTATATTAAATCTCCATTAAAAAACTACTAATTATTAGCAGTTCATGGTGGAATGCAAGTGTGCTGCAATTTGAAGTTTGATCAATCCGAATTATAGGATATTTGACGAGATAAGGTCGAGTTCTAATTAAAATCTATAGGACAAATACAGAACTTCGATGTCTGTTAGCAGTGATTCATTCTCACTCCTTCGCCTTGATATCTTGCTATATCTTTCTTTCTTCTATAAGTATTGTTACTGTTGTTTCTTTTCTTCTTTCTTCCCTTTTCTCTCTCTTCTCTTCTGTACTGTATTGTGTTATATATATGTACGTGTTGTAGAGGACATAAAAAAGGAGACATATCGAAACCAAATAAACTTAAGCTCGAGAAGCGAGCTAACAATGTCTTTTATTATTCGATATGGATCCATATGAGTTTTAGCGAGAATTTTCCAAGTTTCTTTTGGAGTTTGAACACAGAAACGACAAAATTTGCTCTCTCGATCGTCAGAAGGGTTCGATTTCGAACATGATTCAGATAATAAAATGACGCTAAACTGTTGTGAACTGAAAACTGAAACCAGTTAAGTTTGGTCATATTTTTCATCTACATTCAGGTCAATAAGGAAAGATTTTCTAAGATGACGCTGAGGAGGAGGAATTAACAAAGCGGCGCACTCCTAGATATGGTATGACTTTTATCAATAGGTGTGCAGCACATCTTTTATTCGGCTGATATTTCATACTATATTAGAAGAATAGATTCACTGTGCGGCAACCTCATTGGAAGCACTATTACAGAGCTGAATATCTCTCACTTCAGATCAAGCCAAATCTCCCCAGTCAATGTGCCGCGTTTTTCCTATCTTCTTTTCATTATTATTTGTATTTGCGTTATTTGATTGCACATCCATGATGCTTTCGAATCATTGAAGGACATCAGAATATCTGAAATAGTTGTTCAGCTGAACATCCGAAGCGCCTTTCCTTTCAGTCATTAGATGATACTCTAGATACATATTGATGTTAACTACCAATGCATCAAGATGAACAAACAAGAACTTTTGTTCATGGAAAAATAAGTCGATTCTCAAGTATTTTAGAGACACCAACATTTTTTCTCGCGACATAACTGCTTCAATGGCGTTACTAGCGCGAGCGATATGGTCTTCAAGA